ACTTCTTGATTTGATTTAGTCAATTCATTGTTAATTTTTAATTGATAGTTTGAGTTACGAGGTTTGTCTTTACCGGTTTCATTGTTAATTATACTCCACGTCATTTTAATTTTATTCTTAGCCGTCCTAATTTTGTTGCTAATATGTAACGATTTGGCTGTGGATCAAACTCTTTTAAACATTTTAGAATAATTTTTAACATATTCTTTTAAAGCATCGGAAAGATTATACGATCTTTCATGGTAAAGGTCATACCTTCGTCTGCTTTTATGAATTCCTACTGTCGTCCACTCATTAAATGCCTTTCGACTGTTTCTGGAGAATATTTTAGAAGTAAATGTTTTTTTTTAAATCCATTGCTTATAAGGGTAAATAATTCTCCATATAAATAGTCTGCATTGTTCTTATAAGAAAGTGATGGAAGGTTTTTTACCATGTTACTTCTAAATCTCTCCAGGCGTTTCGTATTAATAGGAACAAACACGCCTTAGCAAAATTAAAGCAATTTTAATAAATAAAATATATACAAATGTAATTGTTTGGTTTGACATTTGAATTTATTTGATTTGAAAATGTCGTTAAAAGACATATTACGAAAAGCAGAAAGAAGGGATAACCATCATTAGTACATATAATTTTTACTATGGAAGTTGCACCAGCCTGAGTGCAACTTGCAATTCATAGTGAAACGAGATGGTAATAAAATGCTCGTGTATTAAACATTTATCATTTTTTTCATAATAATAATTAATATCATTAAAATTATAAATTTTTAATGACCTCTCTTTTATCAAATTTTTAATACTTACGTTAAATTTTAATGGTATTTGTTTTTAAATAATGAATTGCCTTAATATCTTAGTGTTTCGCACACATATAATTTACGAGTAAGTCCATATTATATATAGTGTTATTGTTTAAGTTTTACATATTACGTACTTATTTGATAAGTTAAATAATAAGTAAGTTTTATTTCTTCTTCTCGTTCACACATGAACATGACCCTTTGGACGGGAGAACTATCTGACAGACAGATAATTCGCAAATGCAATACCAGACATCTCCGCCTACCAAGCATGGCAACTATGATAAATACTTTCCATGTGAAGCAGTCTATGGGGAAGGAATGTGTTCAGCAGTGGCCTTTTATTAAAAGGCCACTGCTGAACAGCCTATTGGCTGGAATGGTAATGGTAAATAATTAACAATGAACTTTTTTTATAGGATAAGGCAAAGACATATTAAAAAAGATATACAGGTTACACACTAACATTATTGTATTTTAAAGTGGCGCATGTAGCAATATATCTACATACAGTTATTTATTATGACACATTGCGCTAACAAACAGAGACAAATGATACGGCAAACCTATCGTTAGAAAAAGATGAATATACATCCTTAGTTGCATATTGATTGCTGCTGAGCGCTCATTGGCGTGAGCGCGTGACATACCGATATGGAAATGAACACACTAACTAGCGTCAAAGTTTACACTAGCGGTTAGTGTTGAAATAATAAAACCAATTATAAGCAAAACATCTACATTCAAAATATTAATGAGACGTTTTTCTTGTCTCTTACAGTTGCCGTGTAATTTGTGCACCACCTAAAAAAGGGTTCTCTACACTCGCCATACGAAACACAGCAGCATTAAATTGCTATTTTACGCTGGCATTCTGTGCGACCGTGTTCCTTCCCCGGTCGAGCCGACCCATTCGTGCTACAACTATACAATTAATATGAGCATAGCTCTACCATGTATAAAAGAACTATAAGCGTGACGTGACGTTATTAAAAGCGTCCCTTTCTACAAACATACACAAAAGTTAAACTGTAAACTCTAGTTGTAACCAACCTTATGTTACATTTGAACTTGATCCAGAACTTAGATTAAGTGCAAACTAGATTATGGGTAAAGTTTAACCCTACTTATATACAGTATACCCTTAACCATTGCCAAAGTTTGTTAAACTCTCGGTATTACTTATTTCTTGGTACGATTTATGAAACATTGTTTCACATACGTAAATTAGCTACGGCAAAAGTTCCTACTATCGTTCTGAGGAATGAGAATAAAAATACACTAGCAATAAAGCAATACATAAGCTGCGATAGTGGCGTAGGAGTATCCATTACACTATTTCGTCTCGCAGGTGTCGTAAGGAGTGACTACGGGAAATGGAATATTTTGCCAGCATCTGTTTTTCCATTGGATGACATTTTATTATTATTTAAATACACATATTTCATTTAAAATGAAAGCAGTCCTATTTACCACTATTATATATTATGCATTATGAACAACATGACATATTGTACCTCTAAGGAAGACTAAATATATCTAGTTACGTTCAATTAGATTGAGTGACGACCTGATGATACAAGCAGGTAGTCGATATTTGTAAGTAATCCAGGACCGTACTTTGTGGTACAGTATGAGAGTGGTATATGTTCAGCAGTGCACTAGTGATGGACTGTTATGATAGTGATCATCATCATCATCAGCCTACGGCAGTCCACTGCTGGACATAGGCATACCCCAAAGCGCGCTCACTTAGCCCGATTTTCGGCTACATGTATCCAGTTTCTACCAACCACCTTGCGCTCCATCTGGTTAGGGGGGCGTCCCACACTACTTTTGCCTAGACGAGTCTCCACTCCATAACACGTCTACTCCACCTGTTGTCACCTCTGAGACAGACATGGCCGGCCCATCGTGATAGTGATATTGATTATTAATTATTATTATTATTCTTTATAACAGACTCCGGACCGAACCAGCTACCGAATTATTATTTTTGTTTAATTGTACGTGTTCTCAATTTTATATGGATTTATTTAAGTTTTCTATAAAAAGTACTTTCCATCCGGTCATCAGAAGCGACTTCTTACGGCTAGACACAGTTGCCGTTGCCGCGGCGCGTTTGCTTCATGCTTCTTCATGCTTCTTCATTCTCTCAAAATTTTCCTGTGACAATATTTTCAGACATTTTTTTATTAAACTGTAGCAAAATTAAATTTTTAATAAATAGTAAAAACCGACTTCCAAAACTAAAAATAATAAAATAAATTCAATATAGGTATTACCTATTTAAGTCGGTACTAAGACAGTATATCGAATAATTAAAGCTCCGATTTCAGAAGAGCTATTAAGTAAAAATTATTATATTCTTATAATCTTTAAGTTCTTCATTAATTGAATTAAGAAATATCACGTATCAATAAATAGTTATATTAAAACGTCACTCTTACTTTTCTTCAAACTTATATAGGTAAAATTCTAAAAAAAAAACCTATATAAGAAAAAAAAACAAAATAATTTAAATCGGTTCAACCAATTACGAGAAATCAGTCAACATACTCAAAAAGATATACGTGTCGAATATAGAACCCCTCCGTTTTTTGATCTCGGTTAAAATATGTTTTTCATTGATTCATAAATTAAGCGTTCTCATATTCTTGTTTTATTAATATAGTTACTTCATATATTTTTTAAATACTCATCTATAAGAAACAGTTATGTTTATTTAGACTGGTCTAGTTTAAGCTTAGGAAAAACATCGCGTTTATTGAAAAGCGAGCGGTCGACTCGAAGGCAAGTTGTGGTTTGCAAACTGTGAAACTTTGATTTTAACGATTGCCTTCCAAGATTGAAATACGAGAATAATGCCAAAAGCACTGCGAACTTTCTTGAATTATTAAGGTTTGAAGGGGTATTGTTAATAACTTACAACCAAGTCCACGGTTAAAAACTTACAACGGTATTAGCAGTTTCATAAAGTAGCAAGTACAAGCGATAAGTTTGGAAGAAAATAATCTTTTAAAGTAACTCTTGAAATGAAGTTTGAAACGTTACTATGGAGTGCATAGAATATTGGCTCGGGTGATGGGTTTCTGATGTATTAAAATATCGCATATGCTACACGAAAAATATCCAGATCAGAAGCAGAGGGTAAGGTTAAATGTACAAGATGTCTAGTACTGCGATAACAACAAAATCTCCCTACAATGGGAGGGGTCATGGCTTCTTCACCAGCCCAGTAATATGGACTGGTGAAGGAGAAGTAGAAAACAAATGGTTTAAATCAAAGCAAGTAATAACGAAGAAAAGAAAAAAAAAAGAAATTAGTTTAAATACTTTTATTTAATTTCATGTCTAAGTTACCAGGTGAAACTTAGTCAAACAAAAAACAAATGGTCAGAATTACTCGTCGTTCGTTTTGTGAGTTTAGTTTATTTAGGATTTCACAGCGGTTCACGGTGATAAATGAGCGGTTAGCAATATATTATCTTAATGCATTGTGCGCTAAAATTTAACCATTTTTCATTCTCCAGCTTTATATTTCCCACTACGCTATAGCCTTAATGGCATAAATATTTTGTCTTTAGTTTACCGATACTGTATGAGTATCATTTAACACTAAACATGAGAAATATGAAGGTTTAAACAATTGTTTTAAACAATCGATTTCTGCAATTTAGTTATCATGTAAAATATAAAAACCAAAATCTCTTTTTTAAATACAATATTATAACACAAAGGACTTGGCACCTCTTATGACTTAGATGGAACGCATCATTCCTAATTGGATCGAATGTTACTTAGGGTCAGTTTACACCGATACGTGACGCAACGCGACACGACGCGCACTTTTTAAGATAGTGATACAAAATATGACTTTATTAACTACACAAAAAGATACACTATATTTGAGAAAATTCAAAAATGCCCCACGGCGTCGTGATACACCGCGCTGCGCCACGCGGCAGTGCGTCGTCAGTAGGCGCAGCGTGCAAGTGCGGTGTGCTGTCAGCGACTTCATGATGCATCTTGCAACGTCGCGATGCATCTCGCTACTCGATGCAAAACCACTAGCCTCTTCAAGCATCGTCTCAGTGTGAACTGACCCTTACATCAATTAGTGCTCATTTGTCACTCCATGTGTAGAAAAAAAAGACAAAGTAAATGTACAAATAATCATTTTAATCTTCTCAATTTAATCTTCCTTACTGTGTTCAATTATATATTGTATTTCTGCATCAGTAAGATTTTTCTTTTCAAAAGGAAAGTACGGATGTGAATACCACTTAGCGGGAGTCCGAAGTCTATAATTCTTATTAAAAGAAGACAGAATTTCGATTTCTTCTGCTGTAAGAGTGAAGTCCATGATATCGATATTTTGCTTGATACGTTCTTTGTTCGTTGATCGAGGAATAGCTACCAGCCTACGGTTCAACTGGAACATATTTCAGAAAGAAAACCATAGTTTATATTTACATATGATTTACAAGACAAGAGAAAAGCATAAACAATAGTAAAAAATCATCATTTAAATCACCATCAGGTGAATTGTAAATACGTTTTCCACTTCAATTAAAAAAAAATGTACACGAGTGTGACCCAAATGCGCACGCGAGCAGCATAATACATATATATCACACAAAGCATAAAGTTAAGTTTTATCAGAGCAGACGCATAAATGTGCGTGAAGACAGACGTCGTTGACGGTTTACATAATGGTTTTCTATATTTACGCGAACACTACACATTTAAATAAAACTAGTTTTACGGATTTAATCGCGTATATTAACTTATTTTATATTCCCGACGTTTAGAGTTGGACGTCCCAATGTCTTAGTTAACCACGGCTACCTTCAGATTAAAAATTATAAATTTTTGTTCCGATCTACGCAGTATAAATTATAGTATCTTGAAGTCTTGCAGAGTTGTATGCTTGGGTTCGGATTTAATTTTATTAATTAGCCTGGTTATTAGGCTGGTTGCTACCAAGCAGATGGTAGCAACCAGCCATCTGCTCTTTTGAAATTAGGATGTTTTTTGATTTCAATAGTCTCGCGAATTATTCTTGGAAAGAATCGGTATTCTTTAGCGAGGATTTGTCGTCTATCAAATTTAATGTAGTGACGGGGGCGATCCTGTACGTGTTCACAGACTGCAGACTTCCCGGACCGTTGATTCTTTACATCAGCTACGTGTTCTTTAACGCGGGTTTTTATTGATCTTTTAGTTTTTCCTATATAAGAGAGACCATATTGATACATGATCACCCCCGTCATTATAGTACATTTGATAGACCAAATCACCAAATCCTCGCTAAAGAATACCGAATACCGATTACCGATGTTGAACGTTCTTTGCGCCCGAGCTTCTACCGCGCAAAGTGCTACAATATTATTAAAAACCCGAACCCACCGTAATTATACATCGGGACCCAACTCGGCAGCGGCACGTGCCTAATAGTGGTGAAGAACCTAACCTGGGTGCGGTACCGGTGAACATGTCTTCGAATTTTATTCATACGGCATACCGTACTCATAAGCCATACAAACAAATTTTCCTTTCCGCTTTAAGCGTATGAAATGTCCTTTCAGCATTTGCTTTGCATTGACCATTCTTTATAAAGCGCAGGGACAAAAACTACACTCAGCAAGGCAACGTTTTTGTGTACCTACGCTCCAGGCTACCGTGTACGGTTGCCAAGCCAAGTGACTAAATAAAATTAGTTGAATTCATAACGAGATATTTTCCTATACATATATAAGGTCTTGACTTATAAAGTACAATACATCATTGCCTTTTTGAATTGGAAAATAGAAATATTTTATCATACCAAAAATCTTAAATTAGTCCAAAGTATTAACCATGTTTTATTGACTTACTGCCCAAAATTTGTTGTTGCCCTTTCATTAGAGGTCTGCTGCTCAAGAGTCAATGTATTATTTAAAGTCGTTCTTAATTGCATACTTTTTCGAAATTGAAATTTTCGGCCATTGAAAATGTCTTTTAACTTTGAGCAGTGGAATACCTGCTGTTGGGGCAATGTTAGGAGAATATAGTGGATGAGAAAGGGTCTCTAGATTTAGCTTTATTAATTTTGCCAACTGTTCGCCATACAGTTTGTAAGGTATCCATTTGTCAAGCTTTTTTATTTTACTATTGTTCACGCCCTTAGTTGCCCCGACAAAGGTCGACCGTACCAGGGCCCATGAGTGGTAGTTGCGACGGGCAACCAAGAGAGGGGCCCAAATAGCCTATGGATAGTTCTAAATTAATTGCAAATAAGCAAGCACAACTTACCGATTTCCGGAGGTAGGGTTGACCACAGGTTACCAGTCAGGTGGTAAGTGATGTGCATGTAAGTAGTGTGTAGTAATGTATACATGTGTAACCTGACATTCCCGGTGAAGTCGGACCGCAGATCCTCAGGCGCTGATTTTCTCCAAATGTGTGATACCTCGATCGATCATCAATTGAAACTTCTGCTATTATTTTCACTATATTGGTTTATCAACTTTATTGTACATTAAATTAACTTCAAGGTCAACCAACTCAACTTTCATCATTCATCATCATCATTACAGCCTTTCATAAGTCCACTGCTGAACATAGGCCTACCCCAAGGAATGCCACAAAGCACGGTCCTGAGCCACCTGCATCCATCGACTTCCTGCATGTCTCACTAGGTGGTCACTCCATCTCGTGGGGGGTCACCCTACACTTCGCCTGCCGGTACGAGGCTGCCACTCAAGAACCTTTCTTCCCCATCGGTTGTCGGTTCTTCGAGGTATATGGCCGTCCCACTGCCACTTCAGCTTACTAATCCGTTGGGCTATGTCGGTTACTCTGGTTCTACTGCGGATATCCTCATTTCTAATTTTATCACGCAGAGAAACCCCGAGCATAGTCCTCTCCATAGCTCGCTGAGCTACCTTGAATTTCCTCATACGGCCAATAGTGAAGGACCACGTCTCAGATCCGTAAGTTATCACTGGCAACACGCACTGGTTGTACAATTTCGTTTTAAGGTTTTGAGGTATGTGTGACGAGAAGATGTGTCGTAGTTTCCCGAACGCTGCCCAGCCGAGTTGAATCCGTCGATTGATTTCTCAGTCGAAGTTCGACTCACCTAGTCGGACTATTTGTCCCAGGTAAACATACTCGTCAACAACTTCGAGCTTAGTGCTCCCAACAACTACCGGCATAGTTGTGACATGGACATTAAACATGATCTTTGTTTTGTCCATGTTCATCCTAAGACCTATTCGTTGGGAGACACTATTGAGATCATTGATCATGGTGCTTAGGTCCTGCAGCGATTCTGCCATAAGGACTATATCGTCGACAAATCGAAGGTGAGTGATGTACTCGCCATTGATGTTAATACCGTATCTTCTACCAATGCAGCAGTGAAGAGTTTTGGGGATATAACATCACCCTGTCTTACACCTCTCTGCAATTGGATAGGTTTCGTACTCTGGTTCTGTACTCGGATAGCCATCGTAGCCCTACTGTACAAGCACTTCAACACTTCGATATACCGACAGTCAACTTGGCACCGCTGAAGGGACTGCAGCACCGCCCAAATTTCGACGGAATCAAAGGCTTTCTCATAGTCCACATACGCCAGACATAGTGGCAAATTGTACTCCTCGGACTTCTGTACAATTTGCCGAAGGGTATGTATGTGGTCTATGGTGCTAAAGCTCTTTCGGAAACCGGCTTGTTCGGGAGGCTGGAAGTCGTCAAGTCTGCGCGCGAGACGATTCGTAATGACTCTCGAAAACAGCACGAAGACGCGGCCCAGAAGGGAAATCGGTCTGTAGTTCTTCAAGAGAGCGTTGTCACCTTTCTTGAAGAACAAAACCTCCGCACTTCTGCTCCACGCCTCCGGTGTAACGCCACCATAGAGGACGGAATTAAAGAGCCTCTGAAGGACTTCATGTACCGGTCTTCCACCCGCTTTCAGACGCTCCGCTGTAATTCCATCCTCGCCTTGGGCCTTGCCCTTTTTAAGGTGCTGGAGAGCCATTCTAATCTCGCTCAGACTGACGTCCGGGATATCTTCGGAATAGTGTCGGATAAGACTCGCTCTTGGATCGTTACTCACACTTGCGTGTGGGTCCAAAGTTCATCGAAATTAAAACAAGTTACACACGACACAGGTAACGAACAGTCGTTCAAAGTTCAATATTCAATGTTCCGGGTTCACTTAGCACAAAATTACAAACACGGGAACAAACGCGGCCTCTTCTCGAGTCTCAAAGTTCAGCGTTCCACACAACAAGGCAAAATTCCGTCGCACGATATTAAAATGACACAAAGCAACTCGTCGAATCAAATTAATGTCAATCAAAGTTAAGTTAATAATTCAAACTCAATACAAGCCTCTTGTCACGAAACGTACAAATTAGACAAATCAATTCGAGGCGGACTACACGAGACCCAAATCTTCGTTAGTCAATTAGGCGCGCACAATTTACTCAAGTTTTTGACCTTCAAAATCTACACACCGGCCGCGCGCAACCAACCCAGCGGTCGCAAACAATACTAGTCGACAATGCCGCGGCGTTCAATACACTGTCGCTAGCCCAGGATGCCGAAAGACGGGAAGCGGCACACGGCTGCCCCCCCCCCCCCCCCCCCCCCGGCGCCGTTTACCTCACCTCAATACCATCGGGTGACGCGCCGCGCGCGCATCTTGATGCAAGTTTTTAAAATATTACGATTTTGGCCTAAACAACTATTTCCCCGCAAATTATCTCATATTATTTAGATTCATAGTACATTAACAATTCGCTGATAGTGCTAGGTACGTATAGGTCATTGCAATACCAATACCGTACCGTTTGAGATGCATTTCTTCCATGTCGGAACTTATATTCATGTCCATGTCCATGGAAAATATAACAAAATATAAAAAAGCAAATGCTCAATAAAAGAAAGTATGAATATTTTATTTAGAAAAGGAGTAAAGTTCCATATCTAAACATGGCTATTATAGTTCTAAGTTGCCAGTTGGACAAAATAGCAATTTTAAAAGCTTAAACGATTCAGGGCTTTCTGGCTTACATTACTAAATAAAATAATTGTCTCAGGTTTATTGTACAATTAATTAACGGCACCCCTTTACGAACGTCCACAGTGTCGCATGTATAGCTAGTTTCAAATAAAAATACCGCAAAGATTTGAAGCGTGTTAATTATTAATTCTTAATGTTAATGTTTTTGAAAATAAAAAATTAATAAAAAAATGTACTTTCCTAATTTTAATGAAAACTTTTCTACTATTGTAGAAAAAAGCTTGTAAAAAATTATGTAATATGCCATTAATATATAAAATTATAGAAATATCTCATACTTACCAAATACCTAAGTAAGATCTGTGGTACACTTTTATTATATTTGTCAGCTAAATTCGTTAGAATTGGATGATCAGCACGCGGTGGCGGACCATTTTGTTTACGACCAAGAATAGCTCCAAACGGACTATATGCCATTACAATAACGCCATGTTCACGACACCAATCAATTAACTCGTTTTGAGTTATGGTTGGATTAACCTGTTAAAATATTTATTATAATTACTCAATGTATTGAGTGTAGTGCAGTGTGTGTGTGTATAATGGGGTAAACCTAAGTTCAGCAGTAGACTTTAATAGGCTGTAACGGTATTAACATCACTACTCAAATTATTAAAAACAAAAGAAAGTTATCATATTTAGGTACCCACAAATCTACGTTCATATAAATCCATAGCTCGTTGGTACGAATACAGCTTAAAGTAATTTTAGGGCCAATGTTCGTGTATGCAAGTGAAAACAAACATCCGCGCCGTACCGCAGCGTTTATCGGAATCGTTTGAAATATTACAGTGTTTGCTATATAAAGAGTGTAAATGGCAGCGATATCATTTTGTTCGAGTGTAAAAGGGGCCTCCTGTTCTCTACACTCATCATACGAAACACAGCAACGTTAAGTTGTTATTTTACGCTGCTATTCTGTGAGAGCGTGGTCCTTCCCTGGTCGAGCCGACCCATCCGTGCTAGAACTATACTACTGATATACCTGCAGCATGGCTCTACCACGTATAAAACACAATGTCTTCACTGAATTGCATTATATAAATAAATTAATGGAATTTTCATATATTTGGGAGCCATGGTAGTACAGGAGATAATCACTACTCGCCTTAAAATGTTTACGAGAAAATCGAGATTTATTCTTATCGCGACACTAACATCACTGTTATTCACAATTTTAATTATTGCTTTACCACGTACTCGTCCGTAACGAAGGAATCAGCTTTTCTGAGAAATAAAAAATATGCCATCAAAAACATAACTTGTAAAAAAAAACAAGTCTCGCAGCTCAGTTCTTCTACCGTAAAAAGTTGTGAGATCCATGTAATACCAAGTCGGTTAATTTATTCAATCCCTACTTAAGGATCCTTCTGTCTTAAGTTATTACGTAATTAGCTAACCTAACAACATCTTATAGTGACCACATCAATAATAAAAATCTTTTATATTTTAAATAAATAGATTGATTCAGGCTTCTAGTCTTACCCACAACGAAGTTATAGGGTTTCTAGAATAGCCTGAACTGCTTCGAGAAAAGGATCGTACGGCCGTGCCGCTTTTTTGCTCGATTTGGCGGGGGCACTGCCGTGCCCCCAGATTTAGATGCTATATAGAGTTCACCATTAATTTATTTATTTAAAGCTTATAATGTATTATTTCGTTTACCTCAATTTGCAAAACAGCAGGTTTTATTTCACTGTTGTCCCAAAGACGTTGCATTTGAATAATATTGAAATTTGAGACACCTATTGATCTAGTAAGATTTAGATTTTTGGCACTTTCCATTCCTTTCCATGTTTCAAGATAGTCAGTCATACTAATACTTCCATCTCTCTGAGGAAAAACCAATTGACAAAAAATATACCCCTTTTATTTAAAAATTTAAAAATGAAGAAAAAAAGTGAAATTAAAAGTGAAAATGGATTTTTAACGAAGTGAAAGACACTTCAGAAAGTAATCTTACTTAATGAAAACTTCGATCAAAAGAAAAATTTAATTTGAATTTCATTTAACACTTTTTAAATTTTTAAAAATATCAGTAGTCTATTATAGATATATGATTACAAAGACTTCAAGATTTTATTCAATGAGTTTTTTAAGAGACGTCTGTTAGAAATCTCCAGAAGTACTAGCTTTCGATAGTCGACTGCAGGAGCAGAATCTTTCTTACATAAGTTTTATTTCAGATGCGAATAATTACGGGTTGATGATGATTGAGAAGAAGAATGCAGCACATTAAATTCTCTTAAGTATTTGGTCTTGACTCATGGCGTGTTTAAACTGAAAACTTTTTTTGTAATAATAAGCTGTTTTGTAAACAAAAAATGTCCTATAGTTAGATTTATCTGCCAAAATATGACTGTAATAGAACTAAAAAAAGGTGGCATAAATTAAGTATAAGATAAAATATGAATTTTATAGCAACCAAATGTTACAATCTACAATCAAAAAAATTGCTTTGTAATAGCTCCATATACTTTATTCTATAGATAAAGTCATTTTAGCGAACGAAAATTGATTGACTATCAAAGTGGTACATAAGATATGCGCTAGATGGCACAAACACAAATAATTTAATATAAATCGGTAAGCTATGAAATCGTAGATGAATTGATTGGATATGATACTATTTATTTATTTTATAAATTTGTTAATTTTTTTAACTGTTTATTATAACAGTTAAAGTTCATATTATTATTTATTTTTTAAAGAAGAGGGGGCAAACGAGCATGCGGCTCACCTGATGGTAAGTGACTACTGCCACCCATGAACAGCCACACCTCCAAAGGAATTGCAGGTGCGTTGCCGAACCTTTAAAAAGGTGTAAGCTCTTTTCTTGAAGGTCCCCAAGTCGTATCGGTCCGGAAAAATTTCCGGTGCTAAACAATTCCACAGAGAAGTTGTAAGAGGAAAAAAACTCCTAGTAAAACGTATAGTGGTGAACCGTCAAGCATCCAGATTGTAAGTATGGATTCGTGTATTTGCACGCGATGTTGGTTCGTGAAATTTGGCGGCTGGAATTAATCCGAACAATTCCTCAGAGCACCCCTTATGGTAGATTACATATAAAATGCAAAGGAATCCAAAAAGAGGGGTGTTATATGTTTAAATTGTGTATCTGTGTGTCTGTCTGTGGTATTGTATCTCCCAAACAGATGAACCGATTTAGATTTAGTTTGTTATTTTGTTTGAAAGGTGATTTTATCGAGTGTTCTTGAATATGATTCAAGAAAATATTTTCAGCCGTTTGAAGATCATCAGCTCTTTTTGTTTCGGGGTTTTATTAATTTTTATTTTGAGTTATGAATTTCGTTTTTATTTCGAATATGTAATCAAATAAAATTGTTCCTCTCGCTCTACAAAATCTTTTATTACTCAGGTAATAACTCAACATTTTTAGGCACATATTAAAAAAAAACAACTTTACCTTGTACGCCATTGGATAATGAACAAGATACAAATCTACGTAGTCCAGTTTCAATTCCTGTAGTGACGTTGTTAAAGCCGGGACTACCTCATCCATTTCGTGAGCGTCGTTCCATAACTAAATTATTGAAAGTAGAATAGAATTAGTAAAGTAGTGTTTATATATTTACACCTGTACTAGAACAAACTTTGCTTTGTGTTAATTATTTTTTATCGACAATTGCGTGGACTAAAGATGAGTAAACTTAACCACTAGGCTGCTGGTCCTGGGTTCGTATATCAGCCGAAGTAAACATCAGTGCAAAACACAAATTATTGGGGTGGGGTCTGCTTTTTTATAATAATAATAATAATAATAAACTTTATTTCAGACAAAAGTCCATAAATTGGTTCGTAACATAACATTTTTTTTATATTTATTGTTAGTAAAAATTGCTTAAAATCTTGAACAAAATAAAATTATCACACAATTATAAAAAACAATATCAAAAATTACTAAAATTATTTTTAATTATATTTTGATTGTCCCGTTTACCTTAAATGTGTAATCTTTTTTTGTTATTAAAGATTCCGTACCTAAGTCTTGCATGAAAAACTTTTTTTTTGGTGATCTGGCCCAAATTGCGACATCATCAGAAGAAAATAAGCCACACTTGATGAGTAAGATAACTGTTATTTCTTTTGATGATGCCTCGTTTATAGGCAAACCACATGTCATATAATCGATCGTGATATGTTTCTTAGTGTAGTGGTTCGTGAGTAGGGGTTTTGAGCACTACAGTAGAGTACCACTACCATACAACAACATCATCATCATCATCATTACAGCCCTTCACAAGTCCACTGCTGAACCCAAGGGAATGCCACAAATCACGGTCCTGAGCCACCTGCATCCAACGACTTCCTGCATATCTGAGACCTGGTAGGTCGTCACTCCATCTAGTGAGGGGATCACGCTACAATTCACCTACCAGTACGAGGCTGCCGCTCGAGAACCTTTTTCCCCATCGGTTCATTTAAATTCGATTCATTTATATCTATACAAATAAATAAAATTGAAGTGTCTGTTTGTAATATCAAAATAACAGCTTTTTACTAAATTCAAATGAAACTATATACGATACTTATAACAAAAACAAAACTTTTAAAAACTTTGTCTGTCTGTCGGTTAGTCTGTCTGTTTGTTCCGGCTAATCTCCGAAATGGCTGGGGCGATATTGACAGGATTTTCACTGACATATACCTGATGTAATAAGAAGTAATTTATGCTACTTTTATTTTAGAAAAAGCGCAAAATAATTAAACCCTAAATTACACGCGGGCGAATTCGCGGGGAACAGTTAGTTTTAAAATAAATTTACACAAAGTTTTAACAAACGAGTAAACAGTCCACTTGATAGTAAGTGGATGCTGTGGCCCATGGACATCTTCATCTATCCTCGATTAAGAATCAAAATGCAGATGCGTTGTCGCCCTTGAGGACTGAGATGGAATGCCTCGTTTCCAGTAAAAAGGGTCTCCGGTTCTCTACACACACCATACAAAACACAGCAACATTAAGCTGCTATTTTACGCTGGTACTCTGTGAAAGCAAGGTCCTTCCGCGGTCAAGCCGACCCATTCGTGATACAAGCATAGTACCACCATAGTAACTTTATAGCTATTCCTTGTAAGTTCTTTTTCTGTATGTACTACAAGTTTAGTAAATCATTATTATATAAATCATATATCACATAATATAATTATAATAATATTTTGTGACCTTTCCAAGGCCTTCGACTGTGTTCACCATGAGACATTAATCAGGAAGCTACAGTACTATGGTGTCAAGAACATAGCGCTTAAACTTATTATTTCATATTTAAGTAATAGAAAGCAGAAGGTTATTATCAATGGTAAAAGTTCTTCCGAGTCACCTGTACTAATGGGTGTACCTCAGGGCTCGATTCTCAGCCCATTCCTGTTTCTGGTGTATATTAATGACTTACCTCACCTTGTAGGGGACAGTCATGATATAGTATTATTTGCTGATGATACTTCCTTGATTTTTAAACTTAAACGTCAATCATTTAAATGTGACGAAGTGAATAATGCTATATCAAAATTAGTGCATTGGTTTAACGTTAATAATCTGCATTTGAACGGAAATAAAACGAATTGTGTTAAATATACAACAACGAATGTTAAAAATCTAAATAATAATGTGTTTTTAAATGGGGAGGAATTGAGCCCTGTTGTATCCACTGTTTTTCTTGGCATCACTCTTGACGCAAAGCTTCAGTGGGGCCCCCATATATCCAAATTAGCAAGCAGACTAAGTTCTACAGCCTATGCTGTAAAAGAGGATTAGAGGTCTCACTAGTGTCGAGACAGCTAGATTAGTTTATTTTAGTTATTTCCATATAATAATGTCTTATGGGATTTTGCTATAGGGAAATGCGACTGTTTTAGAAACTATTTTTGTTTTACAGAAGAGGGCCATTAGAGCTATTTACAATCTAAAACCGAGAGAGTCTCTTAGAGATAAATTTAAAGAAATAAATATATTAACTTTTGCCTCCCAGTATATTTACGAAAATTTAATGTATGTTCACAAAAACAAAGATAGTTTTAGTAAAAAAACATTACATTCTGTAAACACTAGGAACAAACACAAGCTAGTGATGCCAGTTTCTCGACTCCACAGAGTCAGTAATTCATTCTTGGGGAATGTATAAGCTATTACAACAAGATCCCGGAAAGTGTACAGGTTCTCTCTATTACCATTTTAACAGTGGTAGAGCCACGCGACAGCTTTTGCTGTCGCACGGATGGGCCGGCTCGAACCGGGGTGGTACCACGACCTCACAGAATACCAGCGTGAAGTAGAGGTTTACCTTTGCGTTTCGCTTGGTGAGTGCAGGTGGCCGGAGGCCCTTTTTAATGGGAATGAGGCATTCCATCTTAGTCCTCACGGGTGACAACGCATCTGCATTTTGATTCGCAAACGAGGATAGATGTAGATGTCTATGGGCCGCAGTAACCACTTACCACCAGGTGGACTGTGTGCTCGTTTTTCACCCTTATACTATAAAAAAAAATTACCAAGTTTAAATGTTTTATTAAACTGAAACTGTATAAAAAGGGTTATTATAGTATAGATAAATACATGGTTGATAATAACCCCTGGGAATGAGGTGGTCGCTTCCAAGCAGTTTCTAAAATTTTTTTTTAAATAGGTCGTAATCATTTATATTGTAAAATTTATTTAAAAAAAGTCCCGCTGGGTTTCTTGCTGGTTCTTACCAGGACAGAGGGTTTTTTTGAACCAGTGGTAAAGTAAATAATGACTTTCAATAAGAATTACACATGTAATGTATATTGAATAAAAAAATATTCTATTTTATTCTCTTCTATAAATTTCACAAAGTAACTTTTAATTATTTTGATTATCGTATAAGTGTTAATCTAAATTTAGGTTAGGACAAGTGATAGCTGCCGTATTTTTTGCTCATTTAGGTGTTTATACTTGTGACACTACATTATAATATCTATTTTGTGATTTTCAGGTATCAGGAGAGTATGAAAACATATTACTATTTAATTTTATTATTATTATGGGGTATCTATAAAGTTTTCTCATCTGGTTGGGCAGTATAAATATATAATTGTAAATGAAAATGGTAAACATACATAAATATGAATAAAATAAAATAAATACATAAAAAATACATAAATATATAAAAACCCAATCAGATGGAAGCCCTCGGCAGGGGAGACCAGACGGCCGAGGGTTAGGGGGAAAGGGAAAGAAACCGGCGGACGATGCGGGCGGTATCGAGGAGCACCGCCTTCTGCATTTGAGCCTGGAGCGGTCCGTCACGGAGTCCCAGTCGCCTCAGATGACCCGGGAGGCTGACTGGGATTAACCCGTTCGCAGAAACGACCACAGTAATAATTTCGGTTGGCAGATCACCCCACATGTCGGTCACCTCGTGAGACAGGTCCAGATATTTTGTCAGCTTATTTGTTTCGGCTTTCACGAGGTTCTCGTCATAAGGAATGGTAATGTCGACCAAACATATCCTTGACTATGCCCGGTCCATCAGCACAATATCAGGCTTATTCGCAAGAATAGTCCTGTCTGTGATGATGGCCCGGTCCCAGTAGAGCCTGGCGCGGTCATTTTCGAGCACGGCTTCCGGCAAATACTTATAATACGGCAGTTTCCGATCCACGAGGCCGTATTTCAGAGCAAGCTCCTGGTGTAGAATCCTGGCTACTAGATTGTGTCTGTGCAAATACTCAGAGTTAGAAAGCGCCGAACAACCGGAGATGACATGCCTAAGTGACTCACCGGGATGGCGACAAGCTCGACAGATGTCGACGGCGCCATCCTTTAGGATGTATCTCCGATAATTGTTGGTCTTAATAACCTGATCCTGTATCGCACAGACAAAACCCTCGGTTTCCCCAAAGAGGTCACCGAAACGTAGCCAGTGAAGGGAGGCGACTGTGTCTACGAAAGGCTCATGTAGAGCCTTGTAGAACCTCCCGTGGAGCTCCTTCTCCTTCCATACGGTCTCCCGGTCGGAAATGCACTGTACTGCTGGGTCTTGCCATTGCTCGTTGGCTAAGGATAGAGGGGTCATTCCTTTATCACAAGAAATAACGTCCCTATAGTATGGATCATCCGCTCTCGTCAGAAAGTAATTACGGAGGCTGCACACTTCGCGATTATGCATGGTAAGCGCGCTTAAAAAGCTGCGCCCACCATGCTTCCGCGGCAAGTACAGCCTCATTACTGACGATCTCGGATGATGCATCCTGTGGGACGTCATTATAGTGCGGACTTTTCTGTCCAGAGCGTTTAGTTCGGTCTGAGTCCACCTAAGTATGCCAAAGGTATACATGAGAACAGGCATGACCCAACCGTTATATGCGTGCGTCTTATTCACACCGGACAAAAGGCTGTTAAGCACTTTGGTCAAGCGTGCATAAAACACATCGCAAACTGACTGTTTCATACCCGCCTCATCTACACCGATGTTCTGTGACATACCCAGGTATCGGTATGTTTCAGCCTCGGAAAGGGTCCTTATGTTGATGGGCATAGATAAATCTATGCCCTCGGAGTTAGCAACCCTTCCCCTTTCAACATGGAGGACCGCACACTTATCCGTCCCCAGCTCCATTCCAATAGAATTGCTAAAATCACAAGTGATGTTTAGCAATTCCACAAGATGAGAGCGACTGGAGGCGAATAACTTGAGATCATCCATATAGAAAAGGTGGGTCACTTTTGTACCTCCCCTCCGAAGCTGAAATCCCCTCCCGGAGCCCTCCAGTAAGGTACTGAGAGGGTTCAGAGAGAGGCAGAACCAGATTGGACTCAGACAATCGCCCTGGAAGATACCCCTTCTTATCCTTATGTGGTTCTCCGCAGCCGTCATCCGCTCGCCTAGATGACAAAGGATCGTACTCCACTGCCCCATACACTGCCCGAGGAAGTCTCTAACTGTACAGTCAACCTTGTACAGCTCGAGGACCCTCTTCAGCCATGTATGAGGCACCGAGTCAAATGCCTTTTTGTTGTCTATCCAGGCGGCGGATAGGTTCCGACGGTTGCGTTTAACCACTTTGCCAATGACCGCGTCAATGAGGAGTGGTTCCTTGGTTCCACGACCACCGCCCCGACATCCATTTTGAGCGCGCGACATCACCTGATTTGAGTTCAGGTGACGAGTGATTCTCGCGCCCAAAATGGATGTTAGTGTCTTATATATCGTGGGTAGACACGTGATGGGGCGGTATTTGCTCGGGTCTATGGTATCCCGGTCTTTAGGAACCAAATGAGTGATCCCAGTAGTGAAGAGGCTCGGGAGCGACTTTTGGTCGAGAGCCTCTTGAAATTGTCGGGCGAGCACAGCGTGACACACCACGAACCCCCGCAGCCAGTAGTGATGCAGCCCGTCGAGCCCCGGACTTTTCCAGTTCGGGGCCCTTCGGACCGCCTCAGCTACATCGTCCGGCGTTATAATGACGGGGTCCATGGGCGTAAGATTCGCACACTGACTCACCACAACTTCCGTCCAAGGGCCCTCACTGTGGTTTACGGGCTCTGACCACAGACCGCGCCAGAATGCGACAGTCTCGGCCTGATTCGGTGCTTGGCCCGTTCCACGTACCATTGGTCGCTCCAATGATTTATATAGCCTCTTCTGATCACTCTGGAAGAGACGATTCTGGTTGTACCGTGTCGACCTCTCGGTATATCGCCGAATCCGCTTCCCCCAAGCAGCGATTCTCTGCTTCAGGTCGTCTATGCGCTCCGTCAGTTTTTGCGTTATATCCGGCTGGGACAAACTGATATTTGTCCCAGCAAACGCCAACCTGACGGTGCGCACAATTCTTGGTCTATTATTGCCCGACCTGAAGCTTATCAGCCTGCCAATGAGGGCCCTTGCCTTTACGATACGGTCCTCAATCCTTCTTCTCCAGGCTGGGATGGCGCTACTTTGTCTAGTAGGTCACCAGCATTGGGTTGAGAGCCCTCACGACAGCCCGATTTATTATTTATATTATTATTATTATTATTTTATAGTTAGAGATTAGGAAAGCATGAAAGATTACGCTAAAACGATTAAAATGGAAATGTTTAATTAATGCGCAATATATTTTTCTTGCAGATTTTATTCAATCAGATAAGAATGAAAATTTACTTACTTTAGTTGTTATGAACAAGTCACGACGGTCGCCTTTTTTATCTTTCAGAAAATTACGTATGCCCAGACCAACTTCGTCCTCAACGCGATATAGAGGGGCGGTATCGATATGTTTGTATCCAGACTCTAGGGCCCATTGCACAGCACGTGCCAGTGAATGGTTCACTGGTAATACTCACGTACCCTACAAAGTATTAAATATTATATTATTATTAGTAGCTTTCAGAAGATTAACACCTTCTTTGCTGGTGGTAAGTGGATTAGGTTGAGGTAATGTAAAACAAGTAAGTGGACGGATTTTATTCAGATGAAGCCCTAAATAAAAAAGGCCTTAAAATATATAAAGTTATTTTAAAAATAACACTAGTATGATGCATCTTCCCATAAAATTAAAAGTTACAGCCTATATACTTCCCCACTGCTGGGCACAGACTACCTCTCATTTCTGAGTGGGTTTTAGGGCAAGGAAATGTCCGCCGCGCTGCCCCAATGTGTGTTGGCGAACTTCACACGTCTTCGAAATAATTTTTTTCTTATTTCTCTAACATGCAGGTTTCCTCAAGATGTTTTCCTTCACCGCCGAGCACGTGGTAAATCAGCACTTAAAATTGCAATTAATAATTTCATTGGTGCCGGCGGGGATCGAACTCGAGTTGCTTGCGTACTGCGAAATTTAAAGCGAGCGCAATCTATCTGACCTGCCACGGCTCTTCCCATATAGTTAAGGAATCGCAGAATAACGTACAAAGTACTTACGTATATACATATGTATATTATAAATACATCGTTTTGCCTCCAATATATTTTATTTCAATAAATATTTATATTATTACTGCCTATCATAACAGGTTATAACTTACATCAGAAAGGTGACCTAAGCTGGTCCCCAAAGCTATGGCTGGTATTTCATTGCCATCGTTCAAAGTAAATGCCAACGGGGTTGCGCAAACCTGTTAAATGAAGCACAAGAATGTCATTTATCATGAATTCTAAAATATGAATATTGGAGAATATAACAAAATGATTTATTTGTATATTGTTTAAGGATTTTATCGTTTTAAATTTACCACGACTACTGCACAACACACAAAATGACGACAATTAATATAAATAAATAAATTACACGATATAAAATTCATCAAAAAATAATTTTATTCAATTGATTTTAATTTGAGTTATACGTTTTTGTTCCTGTTATTTAACAATGAATTTTTATACTAATTTATACCGTGTTATATGGATGCCCCCTTACAAAACCGCGAACAGCGATTACAGCATCTTAAATGGCATCAGGTAAGTACACCTGGTTACCCTGCCAAAGAACTGCTTTCTGTATACTACGGAGTTTACCATCACTAACATCAACGACCGAGTGAAAGGGCAGCCTTAGAAGATCACAAAGCTTACCTATAACCTAGCTACTCATCTGGATAACTCGTCTCATATACATCTCAAATCTATGGACTTAAAGAGATTACGTGAAATTCAACGTAATCTGATGTCTCAATCGATATTACAAGTTGACCAAATTTCGTCGAAATACCTATACCATACGACCATCCTACTTTACACTATAATGATAGTAAGTATACTGGTACTTAAAAGCCTTGTTACTTTAAAACGTTACGGACTATTGCAGTGCACTAGAAAAACGTCACAATCCCCATCCAAAGAAGACATTTACGCGAAACCTAGAAAATCTGAACCACAGAATACAGCAATATTTCATCATCTCAAAACTGAGAAATAGTTGCTGTTCTCAGGGGGAAGGTGTTATATGGATGCCCCCTTACAAAACCTCGAACTATGCGGCAATCTCATATTCTCACACAACATTGTTTCCACGAGGCAGTTCTGCTGACTTGATGGGAAACTCGGTCGCCGTGGACTCACAATTACGCGGTGTCAACCGACATATCACCTTACCAGAAACCTAATGCAGCGAGGCAATTCGGCTGACTTGATAGGAAATGTGACTGCCGTGGATTCAAAGTGACGCCCGCGGTGTCATCCGACACACCATTATATATATGATAATATACGATGCCACTTAACTTCGTTTCAAACATCGAACAAGTGTAGACTTAATTAGCATCAGTTCTTTTATTTGAAATATCTTTATAAAAGTTCTTTTACATTAAACTTATTAAAAATAAATTGGTTTCTTTTTTTCTTTTTAAAAAAAAACGTTACCCCACACTAGGATTTTCTCCTGTGTCGTGGAGGCAGTTTACAAACATAAATTACACAAGGACAAACATCCAGACTCGGAACAATTATTTGTAGGCCATACAAATACTTGTTCCGTGCGGGATTCGAACCCGCGGCCCCCAACGCAACAACTGATTGCTAAGCCACTGCGCCACGGAGCCGTCAGCCACTGCGCCACGGAGCCGTCAATCCATAATTATCGTCTTATAATAAATATTATAAATAAAGACATGGTTGATTGGAAAGGAAACAAACTTACTCGAACATAGTTAAATGAAGCAAACAGAAATAAGTAAACTAACAAACTAACGACGTCCATGTTTCAAGATAATCTGCGCCGAACTACGTAACTCTGTCATTACCACATGTAAGTTTGTAGTGTACGCTTCTCTGGTTAATCGTGTTTGTATCGAATATTAAATTACAGATCTCATACAAATTTTATCGATACGCCCCTGTAAATAATATTAATTGTATTCATTAATATTATTTTTACTAGCAACCCAACACTGCTTTGCCTGGAAAGGATTTATTAATGTGTCGTAATTTAAATTTCAAATAGTACAAGACCATTTATTTTGTCAAACTTTTTAATTAAATTTCAGTTTTCCGGATATAATATAACCTAGACCTTTCCTGGGATTGTTCTCTATTTGTTCGTAAAGTTTTGATCACAATCAGTTTTGCCATTCCCAAAGAAACAAAAGGACAGACAAACATTTTAAAAATGGTTGTTTACGTCTTAATAGCATGCAAATAACCCCCTGAGTTTAATAGAATCAATTTATTTTAATATTATTGGCAGAAACTTCAACATTATTATATTTTTAGAGATGTATCTAAATAATTATATTTTCAAAAGCCAAAAAAAAACAAATATTGGCATCCGGTAGATGGTGAAATAACCATCTCAGTTCTTATGTCAGGCCAAAAATATCCAGATCTGTGATAGGCTGCAGGGTCATAGTGCTAAGTGTCTAACACTGCGATTACCAACCCGCTTGCCCAGCGTGGCGATTAACGTCCCAATGGTAAGCACCAAAAAAACACGGCCCCCAGTTCCCAGCCGTCCTAATGTACCTGACCGTGGTGGTGCTAAGAATCCATAGGAGAGGGCAGAATATCACCACAATAGTTTGTGTAGTAGGCAACATTAGGCCGGAAGTTCAAGCTCTCAGAGAAGGCACTTCAGTTTATGCAAAAGAGACGTGAGGCAACAACAGCCGCGCCATCAGAGCAGCTGGCAATCACCAGACTCGTAAGGAAAGCTATACGGCGGGACATGGGGTGCTCTAACGCAGCCTTTATTCAAGAAGCAATAGAGCGAATCAAGGGTCGCAAAGTCTTTGTTAGGAAGCTTGGGAGGAGCCACATTATGAAACAAAAGACGTGATGGCACAACCCTTACGCTGAAGCCTGAGATTCTCGCTGACATCGAAGACTGTTACAGTACATTATATGACTTCCAAAACCGGCAACCCGACCCCAAATGCGACGATCCCAGAACCACAATAACCCGCCACTTACCGAGGAGCTGCTAGATATCTGTCTGGAAGAGATCGAGTTGGCTATGGAAAAGCTCCAGGAGAGGGCGGAATTACAACCGAGCTTTTTAAAGCGGGGGAACAACCACTGCTAAAAGAGCTCTGTCGAATTTTAACTGTATTTTACGAGATGCGAGAACTCCAAAGGCGTAGAGCAGAAGCATCAGTCTTGTTTTAGAAGAAAAGTGACAAGACAACGATAAAGAATTATCCACCCATCTCGCTTCTGGCTCGCGTGAAGATTTCACGAATTTTAACCACCCGAACAGGCTCAGTTTTGGCAAGGCTATGGCATCATAGGCCACATACACACAGTGAGACAAATTATATAGAAGACGAATGAGTATAATCAGCCTCTTTGTTTGGTCTTTGCGGACTACGAGAAAGCCTGTGGACTGTTACGAATTCCTTGTAGCGTTGCCGGATTGACTGGCGATACGTAGATGTCTTGAGACATTTAAAAATCACAAGGTCTAATCCGTTAAAGTACAGGGCGGTCTTACAAAACCTGTTCAGTTGCATCGTGGAGTGAGATAGGGGGACACAATATCCCCGAAACAGTTCACAAATTTACTTGAAAATTTTTTAAGAAGCTAAACTGGAATGGACGAGACATCAATATAAACGACGAACACATCTTATACGTGGGCTTTGCTGATGTTATCGGCGTCTTGGCAGAGTTGCTGCAGGAACTATAATACATGCTGGGCAGCCTGAATGAATTCTTCCAACATGTCGGACCGCGTATGAATTTAAATAAGACTAAAGTCATGTTTAACGGTCATATCATACCAGATTCGATTATCGTTGATTATTTTATTTGGTTGGTGGCAACTGGATGCGTGAAGTCGAATATCAACCTAAGTGGCACGCCTTGGGAGAGGCCTATGTTCAGCAGTAGACTACCGCAGGCTGATGGTAATGATTTTCATGATTTATAGAAATGAAAATTGACGTTGAGTCATGCGTAGTGATGCATTCATGATTTATTCATTACAGTATTAGGATACTGCTGAACATAAGCCTCCCCCATAGTTTGCCCCATAGGGGTAATATTTGCCATAGTTGCCACACTTGTCAGGCCGATTGATAACCGCAGCTTTTCTTATTATATTATGAACTCTTAACAGAAAGTTGTAGCTGCTCAACTGCGTTATAAATAACCTTTAAGCTATTTTTAGCTCAAGGATTAACGCTCGCCGTAAATTTCAAGCAACCCAATGTCGATCGTAACCAGCACTAATGTAATTGTTATTTGCAATTTTAATTTCCGATTTATCACGTGCTCATCGGTGAAGTAAACATAGCGAGGAAACATTCATGTCTGAGAAATAAAATATTTAGAAGGTATGTGAAATCCACCGACACGCAATGGAGCAGCACAGCAGACTTATTATTCCAAAATCCAGTAAGAAACGATAAAACGCCTGTGCTGTGCTCAGTAGTTTGCCTAACTTGACTTACTTTTTCTACGTGGTAGAGCCATGCTGCAGCTATATTATGGTTGTAGCACGAATGGGTCGGCTTGACCGGGGAAGGACCACGCTCTTACAGAAAACCAGCGTAAAATAGCAGCTTAACGCTGCTGTGTTTCGTATGGTGAGTGTAGAGAACCGGAGACCCTTTTTACTGGCAAAGAGGCATTCCATCTTAGTCCTCACGGCTGACAACGCATCTGCATCTTGAGTCTTTATTGAGGATAGATGTAGATGTCTATGGGTCACAGTAACCACTTACCATCAGGTGGACTGTGTGCTCGCTTGTCACCCGATCCTATAAAAAAAAAACTTTCATATATTAAGAATTCAATCAACAAAAATACAGTTGTAATTACGACAAATTGTTGGTTTTGCGTTGTTAATGTTTTTTTCACGTCACTAAGTCTATGTCGCCAAGTCATCTTTATATATAAAAACTAGCTGACCAAGCAGACGTCGTTCTGTCCGACGACCCTTTGTCTAATAAAAAATCCTTAAATTCGCAATAAAAATATAGAGGGTCACTTATTGGGATAAAAACTCTCATATCTTTTAAATTGGAACAAGTAATACACATTTACAAAATTTCATTGAAATCAGTTAAGTACCTTAAGAGTTCAGTCGCGGACAAACAATGTGACACGTAATCTTTATGTATAAAAAATACGTGTCACGTTGTTTGTCCGCGATGAACTCCTAAACTACTGAACTGATTTCAATGAAATTTTGCTCACTCTGTGCAGTTTGGTCCAACTTGAGAGATAGGGTAGTTTTTTTTCCTGATAAGTGACACGAAGTTCATCGAAAAGGGCAGTACAACATCTGCCTTGACAGCTAGTTTTTATATAAAAGAACCTTTTGTCGTATCTCCTCAGTTTAAGGACACGCCACTTGTTGCCTGAGCCAGTATCGGAATCCTCGGCGTCGATATATCGAATGACGTGCAATTTCGTGGTCACTTGGAAGAGAAGGCCAAATTGGCCCCTAAAAAGCTTGGCGTGCTCAGCAGAGCGGGACTGTATTTCATGCCGGCAAACTGCCTGGTATTTTAGGAGGCGGTGGCTTTGGCACTGTGCGATTTACAAGAAATTTTCTTCCTCGCACAACTTTCTTGTGGAATCGTCGTGGGTTTTAGAGGAATGTATGGCTATAGAGATATTCTCATACATTTCATCCACCTCCTCATCGGGATTTGCCAAGGTTGGTGCGTAAACCTGTATGAGCTTCAGCGAATACCGTTTGGTAATTCTGAGTATAAGGCACGCAACCCTCGTCGATACACTCCCAATCTTTACACATGTCTACCTCATTTCGACTAGTTCCTAAAACCTTATGACTTTTGATAGATCCATTATCTATCAAAAGTCATACAGTCATGTTGGGTACAGCCACCATATATCATGTATCAAAAATCATAAGAAATGGTGCGAGAGGTCTGTCACTGCGATCGCCAACCCCTCGCCAAGCCTGGCAATTTTGTACTTTACGTGACGAATCCTTAATCGGGATAGGTTCATGAACAGTAATGGACTTTTACGGGGTGATGGGGAAGAAGAAGAATTAAATTTTGTGACTTAACCAATTGGATTGATTTGGTGTTTTATCTCGCTCTACTTTAGGTAGAGGAAGAGCGAGATAAAATGCAACTTGACACTGTTTGGGGTATTTTAAAATAAAATGCAAATGAAAGTCAATCTCATTGTATTATACAAAAAACAGTTTTGACCAACAAATCATTTTCTTTTGAATTAAATATAAACCCCATCTCTAAAATAGACATCACAGACAAAATTTAGACACAAAAAATATCCTTTGCCACTATTTTTTTTTTCTAATTATTTACTTATGAAACGATGTTTAGCTTCTTGCAATAGTGCCAAATGTTTTGAAGGAATAGATTTTTGTATGTTGGTAGCCAAAGTTAGCGTTAAATTAAGGGTTTTAACTTATTATATTTTTTATTGAAGGCATTTATTTTAAGATTAATTCAGTTATTTTATCTGTACTCATAAATCATTCCAAATGAATAAGCGTTATTAGTTATTACACATACACATAATACAACCATTTTACGTACGTAAACAGTTTTTTTACTAAAATAATAAATGCAAAGTGCGATACAATCTATCAATATGTTTTAAACATTAAATTACATGTTATAAATATTACTACTAGGAACCGAAGCCCAATACATAATAAAATAGATAAGAGTAAATAATAAAAATAACATATGGCGCCGAAAGCCATTAGTACATTATTAGGTTAATTACGGCGATCCTTAATTTTTCCAAATGATATGTGTCAATAAATACAATTAAATTAGTTACAGTAAAAGAGATTATTTAACGTCGTATAACAACCGTCCAACTGTGAGGCCTCCTTCATTTCTTAGGAATAGTAGATAATACATACCAGGATGGAATAATACACTTTCTAAAATTTCTCTTCACCATTTAAATAAGTAGCATACTCGAATAATAGGAAGAAAGTGAGTGTCCAGGTTCGAGAGCAATGCGACTTCGTTTCATATTGTATAGGATTAAAAACATCAACCAAAGAAACCAACTAAGCATACTCGTATTTATAATCCAACGAGACTAGAACTAAAAAAACATATTATGCTAACAAATATAACATTATTTTAACTGATAATTATTATTGTTTATTATGCTACAAAAATAACTAAAACAGTTTTTAGTTTACAAAATAGTTAAATACACATCGCAACAATAATAAGCGTTTTTAAAATTACAGTTTTTTTCTTTAAATTGAGGAAAATATATTATATATTGTCACAACACAAGTAGTTCATGTCCCCAACAGCTTTACTATACTTTTAACTGCAACAAAAGTTAAAAGTAAAGTAAACATTACAGCCTTTATATGTCTCATACGTGGGCAGCGGCCTCCCCTCGTTTGTGAGAAAAATCTAAGGGGTCTTAAAATAATAAAAAAAACTAATGAGTTCCAACAACGAAGATTTGCTATCTTAATCGCGATATCTATAAAGGTTATTTCAATACTAAATACAGAGTTGTGTCATTTTAAATGTTGCTTCTAGAAATGTTTAATTTAAATCAAAATGAAGTGATAGACATATCTAAAAAGTTAGTTTATTACTTGATCGAGTTTTTAATAAATTAATATTTATCATAGTTTCTATGTGGAATAAACGGTATAGATATGTACATATTATAGTCATGGTAAGAATAACTTTTATACAATTAAAACATAATGGAATATGGGCTTGACAACAATAGCTAAACAACATATTAAACTTGTAAATTAATACATTCAAGGGGCTGTGCACTTATGTTTTTACGGTTAAATATTATATTTACATTCAACAGCATGTTTGCTTATATTTACATACCTTTTAGTTGATTTTTTACTTATTATGACATTGTTAATATAATTATTATATTTATATATTGAGAGGTGCTGAAATGATTCTGTTTATACCTGTCTGAGAATACTATAACATGATTTTTGTATATTTCTCTTGCCTATTACACTATTTCTACTCCATTTTATAAAAAAAATATATATAAAGAAAACAAAATAACAATAAGGTTGCTTTTTTATACGTAGCATCCGTATTGTAATTTTTTACATGAAATTGAAACAGTTCCTTTTTAATAATTATTTTTAAATATTTTTCAAATGGATTTAATGAGAAAATATTTTGAATAATACTGTTGTGGCTAATACTTGAGCAAATAATTATGAAATATATTTATTACAAAATGGCACAGTTTGAAAAAATACTTTTACTTTTAGATTTAGTTAAATATAATTAATAGTATTCAAATGTACGTTTGTCAAAAAATGAATAATGAACATTTATGGTCCTTTTTTACATCTATTGATACACAAATATAACAAAAAAATATTTTGGGGCAAAGTTATCTATTTAGACAGTTTCTAGATTTTGGTTGTTAATTAAACGTCAACTTTTTCTCCAAATGCCAACCTCATCTGTAGATACCCTGTACTGTAATGTACACTGCGGGTTAACAGAAGAGCGATCGACTGTTAGTGGAAAATCCAGCCAACAATAATGAACGAAACATACACTGGTGATAGTGTACACAGTACGAGAGTTTCGACTCCAAACCCGCCTGCCCCGCGTGATGAGTGTGAGAAAATCTTCCTAATAATGCATGCCAACTAGCTCATTCTTGGAAATTCCTCTGTACATCAGACTAGCAGTGCGATTGGGCAGATATGACAGGGATCGTGGTAGGATTTGTTTTGTGATTAACGTTTATGTTATTATGTTAATGTATCAGTAACTATTTGTATAGTGTACGGCCTTGTAATGGCAGCGTAAGTGATTCTTCTACCTCATAGCATCCCGTGGCTGTCATAGAAAGTTATCATCGGGAAATGAAACAGAAGATGGGCAGCAACATCTTCTTGACCCACCTACCAAGCGTCGCAACTCTGGTAAATAATAACATATGAGGCAATCCATGGAGGATAGATGATAGGCATAATAAATAATACAATACTTTCAAATTTAAGATCTTCAGCTTTTGATAGACTGCAATGCAAAAAAGTCAATTTTAATAATTCAAAACAAGAAACAACGCAGTTGCAGTGTAATTCCTACTGCCAAACGATTCCTACTAAAGTTACACGAGTATGGTGAATATGATAATCATGATTCATACGAGCAAAAATATTTAAAAATAAGGCATATAAAAAGTAGATCACTAATTAAAAATAGTTAATAATATTCTTATAACAAGCAACAGGAAAGCAATCTTTGGTTATTGTAGCTTTTGGTTTAATATCACAAAATACGTTTCATATTATTTTTGTTGTTTCCGCACGTGCCAGTAATTTTTTCCAAATAACTGACACCAGTTTTGATTTTTTTTTATCATTTTAGAGTGTCAAACGGGCTAACAGGTCAAGATCACGATGTCAAGTAGCTACTGTAGACCATGTACATCTGCAACGAATTTCAAACAAAAATGTTTATAAATGTTTCCTCACCCTTGCGGACTAAAATGACCTTTATTACAAACAAGCTCTTCCTTGGTACAAATGGGGTATACAATGGAGTAAAGTATTATCAGTTGATAATGTAAGTTTTCTTCTATCATACCAAGCATGGTTTTTAATAATAAAAATGCTAAAATATTTCGACACGTTTCTTATAATAATACCTTACATATTTATATAAATTTGTTTTATTGTGATTACTCCAACGCCATATTATAGGCTTGTAAAATGGAGGAGAACTGCTTACGCAATATATTTCATAAATTCATATGTGGCATGTTCTTGAATATTTCTCCTTTTCTGCATTAACACGTTGCAATAGTTCATCGGACCAGCGGTGAGACGTGCGGTCCACTGTCGATGGCACTGTCAGACATTGTACACCGCCGTACTCGCAGGCGATCTGAGGACAACGACAAAACTTGTAATTAGTTCGACTATATTTTATAATTACTCCAAAAAATTAATACATACTCCACTGCTTGTCACATGCATGCTTTCTTTTGAAAGATTTTGACATAGGTTAGATCCGCACTCGCTTAAATGCGGATTTGCAGACGTAACATAACCTAGAAATATTTTATTTATTTATTAGTATGAGGACAAAGTGCCTGTTCTTTCTATATGTGCAACGGGGCGAGGTCCTTTAAGTACGTCCCGCGTTTGCCCGGTGATCGCACTTCACTACGGCCTCACAACGTACTGACTTCTCACGATGATTTTCCCTTTATCGCTGATCACATGGTAGATTAGCACTCAATATTACATTTACGTATTACGTGCGCGAGAGAATGAAATTCGGGTACGATAGTGATGCAACAAGCGCTTAGCATACCGCAACGTTAACCTTTTAATCAATATTAATTCTTTTGCAGTCTTTCAGTATTAAATATTCACCCGATATGTTTTTTTTTGTATGGATGTAGACACAGTCTACTTTTTTTTGTTAAGTTAATACAAATATTTAGAGGTTGAAAACCGATTCAAAATTATGTAATAGTTTTTATTTATGCTTTAATAAGTGTTCCACTTTTCGGTACAATTCCGATTCTGGACCTAATTAAGGTATAAGTTTAAAAATAACCGTACTAAATTACCATCATTTTTCAGCAAGTCGAAGTTTGACGCCTTTATGGCGTTTTAATTTAGCGGTAACATTATAATATTACTACAGAAATTTACTTCAAGAGATATGATATAGATTTTTTAATTATTTTTAGTTTTTTTGTTGTAATTAACAGTCTGATATTTATAGCAGATTTTGCATAACTTTTATATCAAACAATAAGGAAAGTTTTTTTTAAATCTGATTACATACTTCGTTCGAAATTGCAACTGCTCAAGTTTATAGTGCAGCAAATGTATATACTAACGTATTTATGGTTTCCTACAACAGTACATTTTAATAATTTGATATATCTAAATGATTTTGATTAGCAATACATACTATAGAATTCTTTTCTATATTATTTCGCTGTGTTGATTTTTACTTCCACATTAAATGCGACAATTGATAAATTCACATTACTCATCATATTATACGGGAAAGTCAAATGTAATGCTTTGTGTGTGAAAACACAGAGAAATTTAATTTTCCGAAAAATGACACGTAGCTTACACCCCCTAAACGTAAATTTAACGTTAAGTAAGTTTCATAAAAATCGTTAAAGCCATTTTTGAGAAGGCAATTACAAACAAACACAAACAAACAAATATATTAAAATACATAAATATTGCGTATACAAAAATTGTTCGCTTAAAGTATTGATTGCCTTTGATTCATTCATTATAGCTTATCAAAGTCCACCCAAGTAACATAGGCCATATAGATAATTGATAGTTATTATAGTGGCGGTCGGCATTTATCAACAAGTGAGCCGCATGCTTGTTTGCCACTCTTATATAAAAAAAGATTGCCTCATAAGGGTGATAAATGCCATAGTTACCGCTCTTAGTAGGCGGGTTGGCAAACGCAGTTTTTTTTAATTTTCTAGTTATTGGAAAGACGCCGCTGTCCATCTCCTGGTTCTTTCCCTCTGGCGCCTCTTACGAAAACCACGGTGATATGGGGCAGAGGATATTCTTACACAGCCACTACACGCGATTAATGGCTTCCATACCATTTCATAATAATACAACACACGACACGCCTGTGGTAAAATAGAGCCGGTCTGCATAGATATTGCGTGTAACATACTGATGCTCTGCTTCGCTTTTTAATCGATTAAAAATTGTTGGTTCATCCTCTTACCTTTCTTATTAAATCTTTATTTTTCCTGATAAATGGAAAACTGACAAGTTGTGACACTAAATTTGTTTGGTATTAATAGGTCCTAAACTATGAAATATCCGTTCTGCAATAGTGGCCATTTCAAATCAAAATAATTTTTGTTTGTCTACGAACGCGAAATATTTTTTGTTTGGCTAAGAATTTTAATTTCAAATTACTTTTTTTTTTAAAAACATGGAATTCTTTTTTTATAATTAGTCACTTTTTTATTGATTAATCACTTATTTGTTAATTAGCGTTATGTTTTCGTCGCATTTGAATTTTTTTCGTCATCATGGATACGTTAAAAATTCGAGTAATTATGGAATATGAGTACCGTCATGGCAGCAATGCGGCACAAGCGACACGCAACATCAACAACGTTTACGGAGCGAATACTACAAACGAATGTACCACCTGTTATTGTCTTGCTCGCTTCCGTTCTGGACAATTTGTCCTGAAAAATGAACTCCGTGTTTAAAACTTTGGTCGACAATGAAGAATTAAAGGCGGTTGTGGAAGCTGATGATACTCTATCTACGGCTGAATTAGCAGCAGCTTTTGTCGTTAGCATCCAAGCAATATTGGTCCACTTTCATCAAATCGGCAAGGTAAAAAAGCTTGAAAAATGGTGCACCACGAACTTAATGATCGCCAGCGCGAACTACGCGTGGAGACGTGCTTTGTACTGCTCAGCAAGCACACAAACTAAGAAATTTTGAACCACATTGCTGATTACGACAAAAAATGGATTCTATTGTATAATCGAAAGTGCTCAGTAAGTTGGTTGGGTCCTAGATCAGCATCTAAACAATGCCCTAAACGAAAACTGATGAAGAAAAGTGATGGTCACTGTTTGGTGGTCTAGCGCCGGTGTTTTTCATCACATATTCTTACCAAATAGGGTGAGCATTACTATATATGTGTACTGTAAAGAACTGAACACAATGATGGAGAACCTTGCATGTCTTCAACCAGCTTTGGTCAATCGCTCGTTCCTTCTGCTCCTGCATGACAACGCGCGACCTCATACTGCACATAGGACGGTCTCCAAGTTACAATAAATGTATTTATATTAAATATACCCGCAATAAAATTTAAACTTGTATATCAAATGTAATCAACGGTATAACACACAAAGAAGTTGAATTTGTAAGAGACTTGGGTGTAATTTTTAACAAAAAGTTTTTGAAGACTTAAACATAGTAGACTTAGAGCTAAGTTTTATTTTACGTCAATTTTTTTAAAGACTTTGTCATATAGCAGTATCTAAGGATATTGTTTGGATGTTTAGCCACCTCACTACCTACTTACTCAGATTTTTAAAGAATTTAAAAGAGATTCCTGTGTCTGATAGCTTTCTCGTCAAGGGTTGTAGAAAACATTTAATCCCACATTTATGTTTTAGATTTATATTGCATCATAAGTTCATAAGGTAGATTAAAAAGATTTAAATTAATTTCTTGTCCTAAGACATGTCCGACTATGAAAAAATAATTTTTACACTAATTTAAAAAAATATTTTTCATAGTCGGATATCTTATCGCCGGACATTTTATCCTTACTAGATAAACTTGATGAACTAGACGAAGAAGACGAAGAGAACGAAGTGGATGAGCTGAAATTATTTTGCATTTTGTAAGATGCCTGTTAGTATCCAATGGTTGAATGGTGACGATATACTTCGTTGTATTTACGATTATTGTCACGATTGTTAACAAGGTCAACTAATAGTCACCCCCGGAATGCCTTAAATAATGAAATAAATTTTAGATTTTTAAATAAACTTCAAGAACACACCCGGTGTTCATTGCAATAATAATATAACCTAAAATAACACTCGTAACTTTATCACATTTTTCAGTAAGAACAACATAATTCTAAATATTACATGTAGTGTTGAAATTAAGAAATTATCGTTTAATAAAGTCATGACTGCAAATAATACAAAAATATGCTGAATAATAATGTTACTAAATAAACATTACATATTTTAAATTACAATATGTTGTTAAAATATACTTTAAAAACTGTTCTTACCATTTGTTACAATAACGTATTGGTTGGAAATATGATGTCCTTGCCACATGAGTAAAGTAATCGTACCGTACAGAGGCAAAGCTTCATACAACCGCGCTGTGATAGGTACACTACTACAAGCTTGAGGCGCATTTTTGCGTGAGCACTGGTGGCTCGTCACGTACAAAGAGAAACTGCTTTAAACCTGCTCGGCCAGTGCTCAAACTCAGGGTTGTGTAAAAAATAAGTGTTAAATTTTGTTTTTTTAAGAATAATTCATATCAAATTAAATATAAAAAAGTGTAAATATGGTTTAGGTAGATTTAAATCTTATCGAGGTTGCTGCAAGAGATACCAATAACTTTGTAAATAAAATTTATAATTTGATTGATTTCTTAAACTCAAGTACACTGCAATCTCCTAATAAATATAAAAGAGCTTTTCGACGCGATAATTGAGCTTTTAGAAGAAATGCTAACATTTTTCAGGAACTTAAAATCAATAAGAAGTGATACGCATAAAGACGTTACAAATAGCATGGATTTCATTCACGGATTTCAAGTGTCTATAAAATCTTTATAAAGAATGAAAATCAGAAGAACATAAATTCATTTATATTTACGAGATATCTCAATCAAGATTGTTTTGAAAGTGCCTTTGACTAAGTCAGACAGGCGGGTGGTAACTGCCAGGAACCAACATGTCGTCTAGTTAGTATTGCCTTCAATAAGATGTTTATAACCAATATCTTAGGGAAATCTCAAAACATTAATTGTGAATACTATTTCGAGGTGTTACCGAGATGTATTTTAACACACCATCACCACAACCTGACAATGACAATGTATTAATGGTAGGAACAAATGACTATTATTATTATCAATTTGATTTACTATAAAAATAATGGTTTAGTCTATTTGTCAGGATATTTGTATAGAAAATGTTGTCTCGAACATCACAAATGTGAGAATATAAAATTGTACGTTAATAGATCTGAACAACTTATAAATATGGGAAGATTCCTTTTTCAGCCATTACAAGGATTTTATTAAAGATAGTGTTCAATCGGTTTTTTTTAATAATACTTCCTGACAATTTTATCGCGTTTGTTGAATTGCTGGAGCAAATATTTCGCGAATTCTTTGACCTCGAAAGAAACATCTATACATATAATAAAAATGCAAAAAGCAGACGTCTGTACATTTTATATTTTTGTAATAAAAGTGATTGAGAGGTATAAAAATTTATATTCATTTAATAAAGACAATGTTCAATCGGGTTTTTTTAATAATACTTCCTGACAATTTTAACGCGTTTGCTTGAGCAAAAATTTCGCGAATATTTTGACGTCTAATGAAACATTGCAAATATTTGTAGTGAAGTATTAAAACGTGTGCTAGATTTTATATTTGTTATGAATTTCAAATTATTTCTATTAGAATATAAAAAAAACTTTACATTAAATTTAGAATTTACTATTTAATTAAAAACTACACTCAATTGTTGAAAAACAATAATTATAAAATTAAAACATTTCGAATACGTAGTTTATAAAAAATATATTATATCATTAGTATCTGTTAAACTGCTGATAAACGTTTTGTTTATTTAGTTTTATCCTGCTGTGCCAACCTTACTAATATAGGTGAAAATTTTGACAGTTCATTAGAAGTTTTGTCCTTGCGCAGTACAGCACACGTGTATTTGTTGATTAACTAAGATAGAACATTATTGAAATAAAAATTATGACGCCTAGCAGTAGCGTACAGTTACCAGACTTTTCGCCATTTAGCGACCTAACGTAAAAATAAGTTTTTGTCCTTATTGCATCAAAAATATACCTATATATATATATATATATATATATTATAGGAATGTTTTTTTATTAATTCGTAAAAAAGCATGAATTTGAGAGATGACGTTCTTGCAATAAGTGAGCGATATGGTATAAAGTTTTGACTATTCAACATTTACTCGGAAGTCGATGAGTACTAAATTTTGAAAACTTATAGAGAAATATAAGCACGTGACCCATGTTTCTAGTTAGTTGGTAGATGGCATCACCGTACCCTGGGCACAGCAAAGTAGATTCCCACGCAGAGTAATAACTGAGTACATACTTCTCATGCACAACGTGCGCAAATGTACGTACCTGCAGCCAGTAGCATTAGTTACCCAGTAGAGGTGCAACAAAGCACGTTCGGTGGGTAAACTTGAAGATGTATTTTGGAATTACAGGCATGTTTCCAGTAATGCTAGTTACATGGAACTGAGATAGCAGCAAATGGTCGGTTAGGATGCCAACGGAAAGCTCCCACACAAAATTATCGCCGAGCACATATTCCAGTTGTAAAATATGCACGAATGTTATATGAGCATGTATCCGTTGACATGGAGCAGGCTTGTTCGGTGAGTACTACAATTGAAGATACATGTAGATGAGAAGTGGGAGCAGCGAGTTGACCATTGTTTTATTTACCCGGTAATGGTGCAGTAGTGCGCGATCGGTGGGTACGCCTACAGAACTAGCCCCGGGTGCGAGCTCCCACACGAAGTGATTGCCGAGCTCCACTGCATCGCGCGGCCGCAGCGCGTACTTGCTACGATTCTTCAACGCGTGCGGTGCAGCCCATCGTCGGGTTTTGCGCGCAGTTACCAGTGGCGCTGGGGCCTCTGCGTCGTCCTGTAATTGAAATTTATCTTATGTGGGATAAGAGGGTATTGTTGTATTTTTTTTACAGAATATGGTGACAAACGAGCAAACAGTCCAGCTGATAGTAAGTGGTGATGTGGCCCATAGACATCTACATTTATCTTCGATTAAGAATCAAAATGCATATACGTTGTCACCCCTGAGGATTAAGATACACAGACCATACAAAACACAGCAACATTAAGTTGCTTTTTTACGCTGGTATTCTGTGAGTCCGTTGTACTTCCCCGGTGAAGTCGACCCATTCGAGCTGCAACCATAATATAACTGCAACAAAATTAATAATTCTGCAGTAAAATTTTGCAAATGAGTTTTTAAGACTGCCGTGTGGTTAGTACACATAGAGTTAAATAAAGAATATAATACGATTTGACACCATACGATTCGCAGACGATCTAGGGCTGATTCTGATTTCCTAAGTTGAGGAAGTCAGAAAACAAATTAATAATATCGATTTCAAAACCTCAAATATTTTTTCTCTATTTTTAATATAATATAAGAAAATAGAAAAAAAACCTCAAATACTAAAGCCATCTAGCATTTATTGTTAATGTGTCTTTGCAAATATTATTGGAGTAAAAGATGTTCTTTTCTTTTGCTGTCCCATATATTAGTCTTCGGCTTATACGTGCTTTGTTTATGGGTACTTATCACAAAAAGGAATGTGCCATCTATGTTACTTATCTAGCATGTCGTAAAACGCGACTAATAGAATATTGGGTTTGTGATTGTGAAGTGGACGGCGCTAACTATATGGACCGATATTGCGTGATTCCTACTTCGCTTCGGGGATAGCAACTTTCTCGACGTTTTTGTCCATAAAACGCCTACAAGATAACAAAATTTCCCAAAACGTGGGTATCGCTGTCTTAAATAAGAAAAAAAAATAGGAAGAAGCACGACCCATACCTCCCATCGCAAATAGAAAAACGCGTTTCTAAACAAGAAGGCAGAGGGCGCCTTCGAGGGCGGATTGTAGGCGGCGCGCAGCGCGGTCAGTAGCGCGGAGAGCGTGCGCTCGCGCCGCGGCATCACCACTTCGTCCACGTCGATCACCAGCAGCCAGCCCGCCACCGACATCGAACGATACAAGCAGTCGTTGAACGCGGCAAATTGGCCCTCCGTTCTAAAAATAAATCAATTGAATGTCATCATCATTATTATAAGCACATCTGATAATTCACGTAAACACATCTACGAATGCCTCTGCCTCGTTATTCTAGTGCTCCCAAGTGTGACTGCTGATCATAAGGTCTTGAGTTCCTCCCGTACCAAGTTCGGTTTTCTTCTTAAGAAATGAGAATTTCTTATATTTCGTAGAAGTCTGGAGTCATGTAGTTGGCGATGTTACATCTGCCATCCACGTCTGATATATGAAAGCGTGCAAGTTAAACCAGTAAGTATCAGAAATACCTGATCTCTCTCCAATCGTGTCGGATTGTCGTCAAATCGGACTATGTGAGTGGAGGTACACATTTACTCTCATAGCATAAATCACATAGAGATCGAAACTATGATGACCCACACACTCGTGTACTATAATACTTGCTTGCATAGATGGCTAATCTTTGTTGCCTAGACCTATTTTTGTGTTATCAATTTTAACGTGTACCTTTGTTATCCTAAGTGAGAGCAGCACGAATTCTTCAGCTCAACCATAAGAATAACGCTGATATATTTGGTACGTTAAGGATACAGAACCGGAGGACATTTTACTGATAACAAGACATTTTATATCAGTCCCCAGGGAGGGCAATTTCGTACGTTAAGGATACAGAACCAGAGGACATTTTACTGATAATGAGATATTTTATATCAGTCCCCAGGGATGGCAAATCTACATTTTGATTTTTAATCAAAGTCAGATTGGGTCTTTGGCCACAGCAGCCGATTAAACTTGCTATAAGGTACAACGAGTACTCCTTTATTACCCTTACTTATTTTAATAATAAAATCCTAGATACTAAAGTACTTCTTAAAATAATTTAAAATTTTATGCAACCGACATTAATATAAATTATTTATTGTTGAGTTTTTAAAAACCGCTCGACCGATTCCGATAAAATTTAAATATGACGACCTGGGAAGCATAGCCATTGAAACAAAATAAGAATTTTCCAAATCGGTTCAGGCGTCTTCGAGTAATCGGTGAATATACATAAAAAATATTCCGACGAATTGAGAACCACCTGCTTTTTGAAGACGGTTGAAAATATTAAATAAAAATCATAACTATTTAAAAATCAAAACAAATGTCGACATAAATATTTGAATCAGCTAAAATAAAACCACTAGAAAAATAAATATTTTTAATCTTAAAGAAAAATTTTAGTCCGTGGGCGCAGTTAAAGATAATTACAGATTAGCTGATAACCTTATTTTACGAGCCTGCTCACAAGTAAAATTCATTCCTCCTTTTGTGTTAAAGCAAATTGTGGAACTCGAACAATTGAGAAAGCCTTATCGCTAAAAAGATCTCTTTCAGACGAAGCTTGGTGAAGGAGATCATTTTTATTTACACATATTAAGAAATATGTATAAATAGTAGATATTCAATTATGTACTAATAAATATATATGCGATATATTATGAGATAATGCAATATTCATATAGAAAGTAATCAAAATTACTAACCTTATTTCCACCTTTGATACGATGGGAAGTTTCCATGGCAGTAGTGTTACAAGACCTTGCTTTCGATAGTGGTCTAGTAAACATGCTACGGGCGTACTTAGTGATTCATTATACATGTAGAAGTGGCTTACGCCCAGCAGCCGATTCAACTCGAACCATTCAAGCAGCCATTCATCACGTGCGTAAGAAAAGTGAAATGGCTTCACACACACATGCAGTGTTTCCTGCAACAAATAATTTTGTAAATGTTAAAGAAACCAATGCCTTTTCATCTTATACTCATCAACCTGTAAATGATCTACTGCTTTCTTCATATGCATCTAACATAGTAGAAGGAAGAATATATGCTCCCATCTACTATGTTAGATCATATTTACCCCAGGAGGGTATCAGCACCCCTGTAGTATCCCTCGCTAAGCATCCACGACCAAGCTACTCCACTCCTGAGCGTGGCTGTTCAGGATGCCCCACGTATTCTGGGGGTAGAGGAAGGGGGGACAAAATTTCGCTCGTGACTAATACTGCTCGGGGCAAGCGGAGCAATAAGACCAAGGCGACCCCTGTCACGCTATCGGTGAATTTTCGCAACATCAGGGGACTTCATTCCAACATTAACGCTGTCCACTTCTATTTGGAGACGGCAAAGCCGACCTCGCGCTTTTTAATGAGACTCAGGTGTCCTCTCCAGCTGACACATCATATCTCTCATACCCGGTACAAATAAAAACACTCCTTTGGGCCCCGGGCTGGAGTTTGCGTATACGTCAGAGAGGACATCTGTTTTCGACGCCTCGGCAGTCTTGAAGGTATGAACCTATCCTATGGGTGCGTGTAAACAGCGACGGCCATCCCCGCGTTTACGGGTACCTCTATAGATTCCATAGCGGTAATGCCAAAATAGACCGACTCATCAACCAGGTTCAAACGGCTACAGAATACTTGTTACAGCAGATCCCATCCACAGAGATCGTGATCCTTGGCGATTTTAACGCCCACCACGCCGAATGGATCGGTTCACCTTCAACCGATCATGCGGGGAGATCTGTTTATGACTTTGCATTGGCATATGGTCTTACACAGGTGGTTACTTTGCCTACGCAGATTTCAGATGTGAAGGACCATGCACTTTCCCTTCACTTTGACCTTCTGCTGGCCTCTCATCCGGACGGATAGCAGGTTTCCGTCGACACTCCTTTAGGTTCGTCGAACCATTGTCTTGTCCGGAGTGTGGTGCCACTCACGCTAACGTCGCGGTTGCATTCTGCAGGCTGCCGTGTTTGGCACTATAGGTCGGCAGATTGTGATAGGATGAGGTCTTTTTTTGCATCCTATCCTTGGGGGCGGGCTTACTTCTCGCCGGGAGATCTCAGCGTTATTGCTGATTCTGTTTCTGATGTGGTACTTCAGGGTATGGAACTTTTTATTCCATCCTCTGTGGTGCCCATGGGAGACACATCCCAGCCATGGTTTGGTTGCTCCTGTAAAACAACATCATGCTAAAAGCAGGAGTGCTACCGGGCCTGGGCTGATGCATCAACGAAGCACCACGGCTCTTAAAAAGAAGTATAATTTCGCCTCCAGGTCCTTCAAAAAATTCATTGCCAAGGCAAGGTCTGAGCACATCGACAGAATTGGCGAGAAGCTAGTTCACCTTCCTTCGGGAACTCGCGCATTCTGGTCTCTCGCCAAGGCTGTCCAAGAGAACTTCTGTCAGCCATCTCCTCCATCTCTGCACAGAGAGGACGACTCACTATCTCATGCCGCAAAGGAGAAAGCCGATCTTTTAAGCTCTCTCTTTGCGTCCAACTCGACTCTAGATGACGGGGGGAATACACCGCCGACCATCCCGCAGTGTGAGTGCTCCATGCCGGATGTGCGATTTACACAGCGCTCGGTTCGTAAAGCACTCTTCTCCCTGGACGTCAGCAAGTCGAGTGAGCCTAATGGAGTCCCTCCCATTGTGCTGAAGACGTGTGCTCCGGAGTTGGCACCAGTTTTAACGCGTCTTTTCCGTTACTCCTACTCCCAAGGCGTAGTCCCGAATTAATGGAAGACAGCTTTGGTCCACCCGATACCTAAAAAAGGCAACCGCTCAGACCCGTCCAACTACAGGCATATCGCCATAACCTCCTTGTTCTCCAAAATAATGGAATCCATTATAAACTGCCAGCTCATGAGGTACCTTGAGGATCACAAGCTGATCAGTGACCGCCAGTACGGGTTTTGTCGGGTCGATCAGCTGGTGATCTTCTGGTCTACCTGACTCATAGATGGGCGGAGGCAGTAGAGTCCAAAGGGGAGGCATTGGCCATTAGTTTGGACATAGCGAAGGCCTTCGATCGGCTCTGGCACAAAGCGCTTCTTTCGAAGCTTCCTTCCTATGGGTTTCCCGAGAAATTGTGCAATTGAATCACCAGTTTCCTTTCTAATCGGAGCATCAAGTTTGTAGTAGACGGTGCAACGTTCCTGCAATTCCCCTGTTGTTGAGGTTGTTCATGGGCGGTTTCATGGTTGGCATGAGCATACATGTAACATATATCTAAGAATATTTAGATTATCGAATTTTTTTTTTATAGAAGAGGGCACAATCGAGCATGCGGCTCTCACCTGATGGTAAGTGATCGAAGGCCTAAATTGTGCCTAGAAGACTCCATGCGGTCGGAGCTAACTTCTAAAAAAAAAAGAGCCACCTGGCAAAGCTGAAGACCGAATGTGGCAGCATCATTTCCGGGGCACCTGAGATTTTGAAGCACCTTAAAAACGGCAAGACCCCAGGCGAGGATGGAATTACAGCGGAGCTTCTGAAAGCGGGTGGAAAACCGGCACTTGAAGTCCATCAGAAGCTCTTTAACTCCGTCCTCCATGGTGGCATTACACCGGAGGCGTGGAGCAGAAGTGCGGTGGTCTTGTTCTTCAAGAAAGGTGACAACGCTCTCTTGAAGAACTACAGGCCGATTTCCCTTCTGAGCCGCGTCTACGTGCTGTTTTCGAGAGTTATTACGAATCGTCTCGCGCGCAGACTTAACGACTTCCAGCCTCCCGAACAAGCCCGTTTCCGAAAAGGCTTTAGCACCATAGACCACATACATACCCTTCGGCAAATTGTACAGAAGTCCGAGGAGTACAATTTGCCACTATGTCTGGCGTATGTGGACTATGAGAAAGCCTTTGATTCCGTCGAAATTTGGGCGGTGCTGCAGTTCCTTCAGCGATGCCAAGTTGACTCTCGGTATATCGAAGTGTTGAAGTGCTTGTACAGTAGGGCTACGATGGCTATCCGAGTACAGAACCAGAGTACGAAACCTATCCAATTGCAGAGAGGTGTAAGACAGGGTGACGTCATATCCCCGAAACTCTTTACCGCTGCATTGGAAGACGTTTTCAAGCTTCTGGACTGGAAAGGATACGGTATCAACATCAATGGCGAGTACATCACTCACCTTCGATTTGCCGACGATATAGTCCTTATGGCAGAATCGCTGGAGGACCTAAGCACTATGCTCAATGACCTCGATAGTGTTTCCCAACGGATAGGTCTTAAGATGAACATGGACAAAACAAAGATCATGTTTAATGTCCATGTCACACCTATGCCGGTAGTTGTTGGGAACACTAAGCTCGAAGTTGTTGACGAGTATGTTTACCTGGGACAAATAGTCCGACTAGGTAAGTCCAACTTCGACCGAGAGGTCAATCGACGGATTCAACTCGATTGGGCAGCGTTCGGGAAATTACGACACATCTTCTCGTCAGGTATACCTCAAAACTTGAAAACGAGACTGTACACCCAGTGCGTGTTGCCAGTGATGACATACGGAACTGAGACGTGGTCCTTCACTGCTGGCCGGATGAGGAAGCTCAAGGTCGCTCAGCGAGCTATGGAGAGGGCTATGCTCGGAGTTTCTCTGCGTGATAAACTCAAAAATGAGGATATCCGCAGTAGAGCCAGAGTGACCGACATAGCCCAACGGATTAGTAAGCTGAGGTGGCAATGGGCCGGCCATATAGCTCGAAGAACCGACAACCGATGGGGAAGAAAGGTTCTCGAGTGGCAGCCTCGTACCGGCAGGCGAAGTGTAGGGCGTCCCCCTACTAAATGGAGTAACGACCTGGTAAGTATGCAGGAAGTCGATGGATGCAGGTAGCTCAGGACCGTGCTTTGTGGCATTCTTTGGGGGAGGCCTATGATCAGCAGTGGACTTGTGAAGGGCTGTAATGATGATGATGATGATGATGATTTTAGTACTAATTCGTAGAACTATAACGCGGAGCGAGATAATTTTTAAAACAAGCAACACGCTGATTTTCAACTTGTTCTTATTATTTATGTAGATGAAAACGATTTACTACTCAAACATTAAGCTAGGCTCATTGTACACATCTATATGTAGGCACATACATAGCTAGTAGACCGTGTTTGGGCTCCTCTGATAGTACTTTGTGAGAAGCTTCTGTATATATGAACTTAGTGCTGAGGATCTGATATGATAGAAGAGAAAGACATCGTCGGAAACTTTGTGGCGGCACGTAGTCTAAATAGCATTATCGATAACATATAGCGTATTTGGTTTCTTAGAATAATCACTATGTTAATGCCATAACAGATCTAGATCAAAACAATTTTGTACACATTCTTCGGCTTCTTCAATTTCTGAGCCGCGCAACGTGCTTCTCAATCGCTCTATCTGTTACTACGCTATGCTACTATGTGGATTGTAGAAGAGTTTTCTTTGATTTACGAGTAGATCAGTTATTACTACATCGTCTAAAGATACTCTACTAAAAGCCACTTATGCTTGCCCTTTGGCGAATGTTTTAGGTCCAATATATTTGATCGCCCTATTGAATGTTTTGTCTTGTAATTTATTTGACGGTAATGTATAAATTCTGTAGAAAGTTTTAAATAAAAAGCGAAAATTCCTACGTTATTGTTTAAAAATCTGTCTATTTGTCTGTCCTTTTGTATGTTTAATGTCTAACAGAATATTATGCCCCTACATTTTAGCACCAAACTGCTTCGTTTAATGTTTTGTATCCACATGCATGACTCAATAGTTCATATTATACAGAAACTACTCATCAAACACTATCAAAGGAGGCCAAACACGATTCACTAGCTATGTGCCTTCGCAGAATTCCCCTATGTTGTTCTACTCCATCAACAGACCCTCAGCAGTTCATGTATAGATGCTACTTATAATATAATAGAATGTAATATTTTTTATTGAATATAGATAACATGTGATCCTTATTGAAAGTCATTTTTTTACTTTACCTACCACTATCAAAAGGGCTCAAAATCAGTTCATAAAAAACCGTATAGGCACGCTCTGTTGGTTTGTCACAATCAATCATACATATAATAATAATAAGAATTATCGCAAATAAATTTCAAACTCTTCACAAAAAAAATCATCTAAATCGGTCAAGTCATTTCGGGAAAAAATGCGCAAAACTAATTTTAACGATCTAAATATGTTTATTGCAGCGCCCCCAGGTGAGTTAACACCATAATACGTATTAAGAACCATCGCTGATGATTCATAAACCCTTTACAGGAAACCGTATCTAAATCGGTCAAACCGTTCTGGAGATAAATTGGAATATTCGTTTGCACACACAAACAACCTCCCATCTAAACGCAAACACCGTCTCTGTTCCTTCGTGGATAGTAAAATATATTTACATCCAATTTATTTAACAAAATACAAAAAGTCAAAAAGTTTTATTTTTTAAATTATTTTATTGATCCATTGAAATGAAAAAGGAAATAAATTTCAAAAGTCTACATAAATCTACAATAAAAAGAGAATGTAATTACGTGATATGTATCTTTTATATATTATGTATGCCGTGAGTCAAAGACGAAAAATATTTATTCATATTTAAAAATTAAAAATATATAAAATATTTTGACATCTTAATTTTCCAATGCTTTCCACTATTAGTTCCACTTAAACTAAATAATAAATAAGGAAAGCAATGTTTCGGAACTTTAATTTACCATTAGTTATGTACTTGCCTAGAATGTGGAGCATTCTTTTTACATGTTTTATTAAGCGTATACGCGTTTTGAGGCGACGATCAAATAGTTCTTCCTATTTTTGATCAGACCGTAGTGGACTTACTGCTGCTAGACTTAGTACCCTTCTCTTGGGGAGGATTTGACTAATCATCGCGTATGGAACTTAGATTGATAACCTCTGACGTTGATACCTGTCGTCAGTCAAAGTATTTTAAATCTGGTGTAAACCGGATTTTTACACCGTCGTCCTTTAGACAGGGTTATTATTCAAAGAGTAGCCAACTTTTAAAGTTAAGTTCAAATATATACATAATGATATACTGTTATTGCAGTTTTTGAAAATACGAGTAAATAAGACATCTACTTTTAATTGAAACTATCCCAAATTTAATTTATAAAACACATTCAACATTGTTTCCTACTTTAACCCTTACCTACGAATGTGCTACGAATGGCCGGGTAACCCGAACTCAAAAAGTCGTAGGTTTGAATCCGCCATTCGACTACCTGTCGTAAACCACTCCTAATACAAAAATTTGAAGTTAACCGGTATTTTTTTTAAATATTCACCTCTTACGACACCTATACACCTATAGAACAACACGACAATTAGTTTTCAATTAATGATCAATTATAAATCGCCGGGTAGTGGCGGTGCAATAAAATCCACTCCATAATAGGTATATCATCTAAACACTGGTGGATAACGTAAGAGGTGACAATAGGGAATAAAATAGAAGGAGAACAGTAGAATTTTTCTGAAAACAACTCAAAATAATAAAAACTGCAATCCAACTCGCCTACCAACCATGGCAACTATGGCAAATATCCCCACCTGCGATATGAGGCAATCTTTAAAGGTCCATATTCAGCGGTGGTCTTTAGATGGGCTGTGTTGCATTAATAAATTATATATTTATAATATTTTTTTATAGGTTCGAGTGACAAAGGAGCACACAGTCCACCTGATGGTAACTGGTTGCTGTGGCCCATAGACATCTTCATCTATCCTCGTTTGCGAATCAAAATGCAGATGCGTTGTCACTCGTGAGGACTAAGATGGAATGCCTCTTATCCAGTAAAAAAGGTATCCGGTTCTCTACACTCACCATACGAAACACAGCAGTGTTAAGCTGCTATTTTACGTTGGTATTCTGTGAGACCGTGGTCCTTCCCCGGTAGAGCCGTCCCATTCGTGCTACAACTATACTACTAATATAGCTGCAGCATGACTCTAGCACGTATAAAAAGTATAATTATCATGTATTAACGTAGATATTTTTCACAAATGACCAACATTCCAAACAAATAATTATTTGTGCCATGTAAAAGTAACACTTTCTTAATCTGTCATATAAATACATAAAGAATATAATTATTTAGAGCAACTAACCTCAATTCCGCTCTTTGGCTCCGTATCGAGAACCGTTAGTAAGTTGGTAGGAGGACGGTTCGGTGAAGAGCTCGCAAGAACCGACAATGAGGCGCCAACTGTTTCTTGCGGCTTTACGCCCGAACCGCGCAACAAGCATAGTACGTAAGTCGCACTGTACTTCAGGTTCCAATTTTCTCGGATGGGCTGAAAGTCAAGAAAATAAAGTTTAATGGGTAAGTGGTAAATATGTAATAATTACAGTGATAATTAAATGAAAGACTAACACGTTTAAAGTGTGAATAGTTTTATTAAAAATAGTGATGTACATTCTGTAAATACTAGGAAAGCACAAGTTAGTTATACCATTTCCTCGACCCCAAAGAGTCAAGTAATTCTTTCATGGGGCAATTTATACGCTTTTACAACAAAGTCCCAGAAAATATGCAGACCTTATCTATCAAAAGGTTTAAAATATTCATTAAGCAAACATTGTCTAGTAAGGGTTATATATAACTAGCTGTGCCCCGCGGTTTCACCCGCGTCATCACGTGTCCGAGGTGCACGACATGACCTAGTTCAAGCATTTTATAACGGCTAGGGTTTAAGCGTCGTTCGCGTGCCCAGCCAAGTATTGAATTATTTTAATTTTACATTATCTCTTAAACTATACGTCCAAATAACATGGTATAAAGAACAAAGTTTATCTTTATAAAATTGTCTTGATGATGAAGTAACTTTCCTTCGTAAGAATAAATAGGCCATGCCTAATAATAACACTCATAAATCACTTAAATTTTCAATATTTTTTGTCACAAAATACCAAATTATGGCTTATGTATAAGAAATAGACATACGGTATCGCGGACTTTTTTTAGACGGAGTAAAGGTCTATATTTTTCTAGAACATTGTATTCACGTATCCCTAACGATAACACCAGCGTACGCGGATAAATCATTTCGGGAGTGCTTTTTCTTCTGACTTGCTTAACAAATATCCATATTTAAGGCTAGTTGAGTAATATAGCTTAATGATAGATAGCCTATACTATTCCACATAAATCTGCTATAATATACAAAAAGAATTTTTCAAATCGGACTGGTAGTTCCAGAGAGTAGCGCGTTTAAACAAACAAAAAACAAAAAAACTCTTCCGCTTTATTATATTATTAGTATTAGTATAGATAGTATAATAATACTACTAAATAATACATGACTGATAATAACCCCTGGGAATGAGGTGATCGCCACCATACCATGCTGTTTCTAAATGTTAACAATTCGTCGCTAACGCCACAAAGGGGCGAACTTTTTTTTCATTTTTGATGAAAAAAAGCTAGTATTCGGGGAATAATAAATGTTTTCTTGCTCTCCTGTAATTTTTACAAAAATTGTTCAAAAAGGAGCAAACCCTTTGCGGCGTCTACGACGAATTGTATGAAATATTATGTTGTAAGCTGTGCAAAGGAACTTTCAAAAAAAAGTCACGCTGGGTTTCTTGCTGGTTCTTCCTAGGACAGAGGTTTAAGAAGTAAAAAATGACTTTCAATAAGTATTACTGTTATCTATATTGAATAAAAATTATTCTTTCTTATTATATTCTAATAATAGTATTTAACTATTTTAATTCAATGATTTGAAGTGCAGTGGCGATATAAGAAAATGTACTACGCCAAATCGATCCGTGAGTGTCGTAAGAGGCGACAGAGGGAAACTGAAACAGGAAATGGGCAGCAGCGACTTCCCGATAACAGCTTAAAATAATAAAAAAACTGCGCTTGCCAACCAAAATTTATGGGGGAGGCCTAAAGTCAGCAGTAGAATTTTATAGGCTGTAATATCCATTAATATCCATCCGAAGGATTGGAATTATTTGAAATACATAATGAACTAAAATAAAACGGCTTGAATACCATTCTGGATAATAATATACCTTAAGCCTTTAAAGACATTCCTGTCAACGAATTTATCGGTGATTTATTTATTTTATTCTACCTAGATAAATGTAATTAAATAAATAAAGATTTAAACAAAGTGTACATAAAATAAGGTATAATATTTAATTAAACCTTATAACTTATTTTATCTACACTTTGATAATTAACAAATTAACAAAGTTTCACGAAAATAAGGGTCGTATACAATAAAATCGCGTCTGCTTATTATATTTTAACAGCATAAATATAAAAGAAAAAAAATTATATATAAATATTCCCTGCTGCTTTTAATATATTTTTTTAAATTATCGGAATAAAAAACATTTCATCGTTAGGCAAACTGCGTTAATGACAAGAAATTATATTATAAAAAGCAATAAAAGTCACTTCTGCCTCTTAAATAATTACGCTAAGCATCAGACGTTACTTCGCGTAAATTCATTATATTAAAATTGAGAAAATTAATTTGCTATGACTTAGCGTTTAGCCATAGCAGTATCTATTCCGAAATATGATGTCTCGAAACATATACATACGTGGTGTGTATTTTCTAGTGTAAAGAAGTAAGAATGTTTTTTTTTTTACTTTACCCGGATAGAAGGATCTTCTGTTTAGCAGAGGCGGCTTATTTAACCTCCTTAAATAAGCCGCCTCTGCTATACAGGTCTTATTTAAGAAGAAAAGTGATCGATGAAGGGATGAATTTGACTTTGAAAAGAAATGAGATGACACGACTCTTTAAATTAGGTACTACTAAACTACAAATACGCATCATTTTGGTTTTACCTGCGAATACTAACTTAATAATTTTGTCATTTGTAAAAAAAAAAATAGACATATACTCCTTCTAGAGCAATCGGGTAAGAATTACTTTGTCATTTATAAATATAAATATTAATTTTTAATTCTTAACTTTAAAAGTACCTTAACTCTGGCTTTTAACGTTAAAGTCCGATTGTCTGGCAGCCACAAGCGACAGATAACTGCGTCCGCACCGCGTGTCTTCGTTGCAGCTATAACTCTCACAGCAGCTACCGTTCGTCTTTCCACGTAGGCCGAATAAACGTAGAACCTAAATCTGAAACATAATTTAGTATATTTCATATTATTTTTATTAATGTACCATAATATATTACTATTTTAACATTATACCATAATGATTGAGACGGCTCCGTGGCGCAGTAGTTTATCAATGAATTATTGCGCTGGGGGCCGCGGGTTTGAATCCCGCATGAAACAAGTAATTTTTAGGGCCAAAAATAATTGTTCCGGGTCTGGATGTTTGTCCTCGTGCAATCTATGTTTGTAAGCTGGTTCCACGATACAAGAGAAAATCATAGTGTGGGGTAACGTTTTTTTAAATATGACGATGATGATTTTAAATTCGTATTATTTCAATTTGTATAGTTTTGTTTTTGTTTATAATATAATGTATATACGTAGCTTTTGCCGTGGGATAGCCGCGTGAGAGAATCTATCAACTCGTTTTGTCCCGCGGGTATCGTAATAAGCGACTACAGGAAATGCCAGAAAAATATTATGACTGCCATAAGATGGCGGTATACAACCTTGTATACGCCAAACGATAACCAGACTGGCGACGAGCAGCAGCGTGGTAGAGAGATTATAGATATATCTATTATGGTTGCAGCAGGAATGGGTCGGCTCGACCGGGTTCCTATCACTGAAAACTTATTATTCGCTTCGGAACGGTTAAATTTTCAGCAGTGGACTTTAATAGGCTGTAACGACAACACTATGTTTTAATAGAATCAGGCGTCACTTTGCGGAAATTCTTTATAACCATGATTTTAAATATTAATCACCTAAGATTCGAAAAATAATTTATTTCTCTCACAGAATACGAGCGTAAAATAGCAGCTATATAATGCTGCTATGTATCGTATGGTGAGTGTAGTGAACCGGAAACCCCTTTTTTACTGGAAACGAGGCACTCCATGTTAGTCCTCACGGATGACAACGCATCTGCATTTTGATTCTTAGTCAAGGATAAATATAAATGTCTATGAGCCACAGCATTCACTTACTATCAGGTGGAGTGTATGCTCGTTTGTCACCCTTATTCTATAAAAAAAGTATCAAAGTGAGGCGTCTGATAATAATGAGATCGTCAAATGCCCTCAGAAAAATATAAAATATTTTAAAACATTTTAAAGTACTAGTATACCGTGTAGTGGCGGTGTAAAAATATCCACTACCCCTTATCAACCCCTGGGTGTCAGCAGGTGGAAGCAGCAGCGTCTTCCTAATAACGACTAAAAATAAAAAATAAACTACGGTAGCAATCCCGCTTGCCAAGCGTGGGATGTATGGCAAAAATTCCCCCTACGAAGCAATATATGAGGGTGGTCTATGTCCAGCAGTGGACTTTAATAGGCTGTAACGGTATAGTACTAGTGCAGGCAAAAGCACAGAGTCACTTACTGGTCCTAATTTACCCAGAATTGACAATCACAACCCTCGAAAAACTAATAAATTCTGATTTCTCACGAATATTAGCTCTGGCAGGAATTCCAACCAAGAAACACTGACTTAATATAGGTGTTATAGTTTATTACCAAGAAAAAATGTATTATTTTTTAGTATCTTCAATAACTCTAATTAGGCCACGTAGTACGTCTCTGAAACACTGTGACAAAATATTAATTAGAAAAATGTATGAGTATATCATGAAATAAAAATAAGCAAATAATAATCAAGTCTTTGTCCATTTCTAGATAAACCCTCCCATGTCATTTAATGCCTTTTTTGTATTTTGTTACACTTTAAATTTGTTGTAATATTTCTATATTTATTCTCATATCGGCATGATATATTGTTTTTTTTTTTTTTTTTTATAGTAGTGGGGGCAAACGAGCATGCGGCTCACCTGATGGTAAGTGACTACCGCCGCCCATGAACAACCGCAACACCAGGGGAATTGCAGATGCGTTGCCGGCCTTTTGTTTTCTAGATGTTATATCGATGTACATAGAACACATGGCAAAGGACAACCGCTCAGAGTTCTGTCGTCTGTTCCATCTGTCGTCGATCAATCTCACATACTTGAATTCGGTAATTTCATAGTTTGTGCACGTTCACGAACGATGAATATGAAACGTTTAATATATTTATGAAGATTTATTTCAATAAAACGTGAATACATCGTTCGTAGGTTTTTTTAATTTTATTAATTCTAGTTTAAAAGAATCGATAGCAGCTACTTATAATATCTACGATAACAACTAATATTATTGTGTGTTCAAAACAACAAAATACACGTATTGTCATCTAAAAGCTCACTAGTCACAATTTCACAACGACAAAGACATTCATATACACGTCAGCACATAAGATCAAGCAATTTGGAATTAGCTCACTCAGCCACTTATTGTGTATTATTTAATTTATTTTGTAATTTTGAATCTTCAATTTATTTTATGAATATACAAGCATTTAACATTATATATTATTACATCTAATGTAAGTAAGTTGCTTGTATATTCATATGTACATACCTTTTATAATATTTTCTGAATCAAATAAATAAATAAACATATAATTATACACAAGAGTAAGTCAGCCCCAGAAGTTTTCCTTTCAGATATATAAAACACATTTTTAAATGATTGTATATAAAGACTCTCGCTATTTATTTGGGTTTGATATAAATTAAAAATTCGATAATGAAATTTTGATTTTAAATGATGAAGTCATTATAATTGTTTATTATGATATTAGTCATAATAATCATAATAAACAATTCATTTGAAGGCATATTTCCTAACAAATTCAATCTGATTTTGGTTAATTAATGGCAGGTGGAAAATGTTTTGATGATCTTCTCCGCGCGATACCTATGCTCGGGCCCCTTGCGTGAATAGTGGCAATTGTCATGATATTAATATCTGCACAAGAAAGCACTCTAGATAGTCACGCGATAAGACGAGAATAGCGTTTTGATATTGTTAATTAAATATTGATAAATATTAATACTTCTTAGTCCATTTCCACCTCCTGTCACTAACCGTCATATTATATTCATTTATTTATTTTATTCAGAAAACCAACAGCGTATATATCTGGTAAATATTAACATTAATGTAACAAACTAAAAGTATGGCCAATAACAGGTTTCCCTTATATTGCTTGATGGCAGGTATATTGTTGTTGGAAGAAAATGAAAGAAGAACAATCTAATAGATAAATTATAAGCAACTCAATGTTATGAAGGTGGTCATAAGTTTACAGATCAGGAGAGAGAGTCAGGTAGAGTGATATTTTATATATATATATATATACATAAAATGTATAAATATACATTTTATGTATATAAAATATGTAAACATAGTACAAATAATTAATTATAATATATATTAAATAAAATAAGTACTTATATTTATATTAGTAGCCTCAAAAATACATATAGAAATAATAGAAGAGGGAATGTATGATTTTATGTGATTTTAACTTCAACTGCTCTATTTCTGAATAGTTTTCTTGATGTAATTTTTAAACATGAGTTTAGATTTCGCAAAGAGGTCAATGTGTCCAAGTTGTACCGTATAAGTACGAACGAGCTGCAAAAGAACAGTGTTTCGACAGTAGTTTGAATGATGCCAGGGAGTCTGTAATAATGTAGTATTGCGGGTGCAGAATTTTGGAGTACAAAAGGTGATTCTTGAGACAAGATATGGACAGTCAATATTACTGTTTATTACATCATATAACAAAGCTATGTCAAGCAAAACACTTCTGTGTTCCAAAGATAAGAGATCGTGCTCAGTGCAACTGTCTAAGTATCGATTTTATTCCGACAGCGAAAGATAAGGTGATTAACAAATATATTTTAAATACGCTCAAGGCTTTTGTAAACATTGTACTGTGGAGACCATATCGAACTAGCATATTCCAAAACCCTTCTGACATACGCAAAATAAACCATTTTAATTGCATTAATGTTCGATAATGGTTTAAAGATGCGAAGAACAAAACCAAGATTTTATAGGCTTTACTGAAAACATAATCAATGTGTTCAGATAGTATCATTTTATGATCAAAATTTACGCCTAAGACTCTAACACTTAGTTTTCGGCTGATTTATAATCCGTCAAAGTGATATTTATTTAGAATTGGCTTAGATTTCCGTGTAAAACTAATACATTCGCACTTGCCTGCATTAACAGTTATATTATTTATTTTGTAGTATTCAAATAAACGGTCCAGGTCCTTTTGTATCAATAGGCAGTCATTTATGGTGTTAATTTTACAAAAAATCTTCTTATCATCTGCATACATGATAAAATTTGTGTGTACAATGCAGGGACCAATGTCATATAGGTAGGCATTGTAAAAAGTGGACCTAAGTAAGAGCCCTGAGGAACTCCTGTAGGTATGTTTATGTAGCTCGAACGGAAACCACCTATCACGACTGCCTGTGAGCGGTTTGTGAGGTATGATTCAGTTCACCGGAGCAAGTCACCGTGAATTCCTAATATATGTAATTTGTTGAGCAGGATCATGTGTTCTACATGATCGAAAGCAGAGAGAAGCAGATCAGTGTAGATCACATCAACCTGCCCACCTTGATCCATATTTTAAAGGACAAAAGAAGAAAACTTGCCAGGTTCGTAGTGGTGGATCGCCTTTGTAAAAAACCATGTTACTGCTCAGGGAAGGAACATGAGAGCGTGGAGTAAATTACGTTATATATTACTCGTTCAAGGATTTTAGCTGCGGTGTTCAAAATAGAAATATTTCTTTATTTCTGTATGATCCCTTCTTGTGTACAGGGATGTGTGCACACTTCCATTGATGCGGAAATATCCCTTCACGCAGAGATCGATTAAATATAATAGTCAAGGGGAGAGCAAGTGATTTAGCGCATCGTGACCAAAAAAAGAAGGAATATTATTTGCATATAATTATGCATTTTTTCCTTAAATTATCAAAGCTCCGGACCGCTATCATAACATTAATATTCTCCAATTCAGTTTAATTAACAGATTACAAGTGTCCGTTATCATTCCTTAAAGAAACTTTTAATATGGTGTTTCAATTCATTGCTGGTATTGGTAC